TAACACTTACTTAAAAAAACACAAGCCCTACAACCTTAGTTTGAATTTGTAAGCAGTTCTCAGAGAGTAAATAATCTATGTTAGGCTATGTTTTTACCTTTTAGCAACAAAGACAACATCTAAAACAAAACTTAATGTTGTAATTTAATTGCAGTTAAGATTTTTAATAATGAGAAATACGCAAACTTTGTCTAATTTATTTACATGTAGGGTACTTTACATGTAGTGAACCTATTTCTTGTCACAATTATATTTAATTATATTTAAATCTATTAAATAAAATAGTTACCTATATTTGTATGTTGGATTGTGGACATTACACTTCAAATTGTTAATCTATCCAACGAAACCTTACCGAAATTTGGCCTTGCAAGGGATTCTAAGGATGTTTTTAACTTATTAAAAACAGTTTGCACTCAAACAGCTAGAAAAATAATCAGAGATCGTCATACCTAACTGCTTCTGGCGTTAAGTGAATAACCGATTTGACAGACTCACTTTTATAATAACTTAAAACCGCTAGTATTTTTCCCCTTGACAGCGAACATGCATTTGCACGTGCATTGTTAAATATTGCATACTGTAAATATCACCGTTATGATGCTGTTAAATAGGCTATTAAGTAAAGAAAAATTTAAGAAAATAAACCTAATATTCCCTATATTTAACCTTTAGTTTCTTGGCAACATATATTGTGGGGGAAATAAGTAATAATTCCCCAAAGTGTATCTATTCTTAGCGAATATTTTATTCAATTTCTCGCTACAACATCCAACCATACAAATACATACAACTCCAGATCCCTCCCCAATCTACTACTTGTCCGAAAACTTCTGACTTTACGGCTTTTAATAAAGGCCAAACATTGCTTCTTAGCATATAAATGAAAAGCGAAAGCGATGACATGTGTCTCAATTTGGCGTCTTGTAAAACTGTTTTGCTGAAAATCGTGGTTGTGTATTCTGGTGGGATGGAAAGTAAATGTATTTCTTTATAACGTACGATACTTTATTCTGAGCTTTCATATGTAAAAGTGTGTAGCTTTTTAACGGTTCAAAACTGAATCCAGCTGTCCTTGATCATTGGGCTTGAATGATCCTGTTTAATGTAACAGCTGATGCTGATGTTAGTCAGTAGCAACAACACAAGGCATCTTACTCCATTCTACACTCATCCTTCACTCTTATTTGGGTTAAAAAATTCACACAGGGAGCGTCCCCTACTCACATGAATATGTTGCTTTAATTTTAAAAAGATGATGTTGCATACTTTGAAACTTATAACATACATGTGTAAGGATCCTGGAAAGAAGCTTCGGTCTATAAAAGTAAAAGTAATTTCAAACATATCTGTAGCGAGTAAATCAATCCCAACTTCGGATTATTTTGTAATATATGATACTCGGTCGAAGCGAAATATTTCGCGTATGTTCACACAGATGTAGGTTAACATGTTCGTTCACAGTTCATTGTTTGGTTTGATCCATATGATAAAAATTGAGCATTGTTAGAGCGTTGTCATGGCAACTTGCTCTCAATTACAAATACAACAATTAGAAATATCGGTGTGTTTGCTCTTTGCTTAAGCTGGGTTTTCCTAGACGCGGAGTCGGCCAGCGGAGAGAGGAACGCGGAGAGCGGAATTGAAATTAACATGGCATTCCTGGCAGCTCCGCTGCTAGGAAAACAGTAACATTAAATTACCTAAGACAAGCTGAGTCCGCTCTCCGCGTTCCTCTCTCCGCTGGCCGACTCCGCGCCTAGGAAAACCCGGCTTTTGGGAAATCAAAATCTTCCAATAAAGACTACGGCATCTAGCGACTTCCCTGGAGTCATATGCACGCAAACATACCAACTTAACTAATCAGTGTCAGTTCGTAATCGTTCATAATCAATTATTAGAACTATTAAAAGTAGTAGAACTATCAATTAATAGAACTATAAAAAATTATGTATACAAGTTTCACTGCTACTTTACACCAAAACGTATTCAACGTACCTTATGATTTTAGAATGTTTTGCATCATCGTTGACACCAAATCATCAGCCACAAACTTGTTATATAACACGAACACGAACAACTAAATGCACTACTCAAACACAAGACTAATTAACATCAACACTTTAACTAAGCTAATCGTAAATTAATAACTAACTACGCACTAGATATACAAGCAGTCGGGAACTAATAGAATTTTCCAGTTCCAACAATGAACAACGAATTAAAGCAGGCAGTGGCTTGCTTACAAATCAGCTGTTAACTGTGACCAACATTAAGATAAAGTAGTTTTTGGTTAACATGCCAGCCAATACAATGTCTTGATCTAAACTACAGTACAATAAATCAAATACAGTGTCTATTTAATAAACTGTATTAATTGGTACGTACTGTTGACTTATGTATTGGGTGACCTAAATATACACCCAGGAAATTTTTATAAGATGTAACCTAGCCTATTTAAATTAATGTAGCATAAAACAGCTGTGACAAACTGTTTATTGTGTTTTTTCACTGTGCAGCTTGTATTATTCTGTGATTTCATTTGATTTCACGTTTCCTCATTAGGTATTTTGCAATTGAATGATAATACATCATTACTAATACCATATAGCTAATTTTATTTATTTGTAAAAATTATGTTAGCCACTAAACAATACAAACAATTATTCTATTCTTGGCTTTTATTAAAGTAAAACGTTGTACAGCTTGATTTAGTAATTAGTACATTTCTACTGTATTTAAAAATAGCCCCGCCGCAGCAAACCTGCAGACAAAGCGAATGTAAATTGGTTTGATTGGATTGTTACAAAACTATTTCCATAGACAAGCCATATTTATTCCCCATTTAAATAACCTTAGTTTTAACAAGTACTTATAGATTTCCTGCTACGAGGAAGGTAAAAAGTGTTTTTTTCGCCAAATTTTAATAGTACCCTATTGTATTAAATAAATAGATTTGCCAAATTTTGTATCAGCATACATGTTATTTGCATTTGGTCATATTTTTATTTGCATACATACCTATTAACCTATAACCTATTACCTTTCAAGTAACGTTCAGTTTTCCATTTTATGACACGAAATAATTTCCCTCCCAAAGATATTTAATTTTTAAGTTGACTACAGGTTGGCAGTCCTGATCTCAAAAAGCCGATCATACTAATCAGCTGTTCAGATCAGCTTTAACGTGATCAGGTGATCGGAGGGAACGGTCATTTGTTTCTATCATGTGAAGCGTCCAACCAGTATAGCTGTTATCAGATTTACGCTTTTGGAAACATCAGCTGTCTTCAACTTCAGATTAATTTTAATCTCGAGAAGAGAATCTGTCATCTAAGTCTCGATTGGAGTGGTACATTTGCATTGGTTAGATTTTTTGTCTTATTTATTTTGTTTTTGTGTCTTTTTTCAGTTCAATCTTGTTGACATGTAGAGTTGAAAACGCGTTACTAATAATGTTTTTATAGAATATTTCCGATTAACAGTGCCATGTTTTATATTCAATATTTTTATTGACAGCGTCTAATTGATTTCGAACGTGCATTACTGGTTAGCTTATGCTACTTTTAACCATTTTAACTGCAACTCCCCACACTGTATTAAATATTTGCTGGTTTAAAATATTTCCATCCTCAAAACTTTTTCTCGTTAGCTTTCAAGTTTTTAATTGAAGCATCATTCCATCTAATTGCAAGTCGAACACTGCTTAGACATATTATTATTTATCGACTCTTACGTGAATGTATGTTTTATTCTTATTCGGGGTAGTTATTTTAAGAACTGTATATTGAGAGAAATACTCGATTTCCACTCCAGCTCTATGTCTGTAATATTACAGTATTAACATGAATAAACATGATTAATTTTTTCTACGGATCAATTCCACAAGGATATATATTATTCATGAAACTCAAATACTTTTTAACTAGTACATAAGCGTTTGAGGTACGTCATCGAACAACAATAGGTCTACACAAGCTCAACCTTGTTTTCTTGTGTAGATACCGCACACTTAACAGTATTCAACATCTCAATATTACTAACCCTCTTACTCTATGGAGATGCACTCCAGTTTGATACTCTGTGTCGTGCCGTCAATACGTCGCGGTGCCCCGGGCTCGCCAGCTGTCTGCCCTCGCCTCTTTAGCATACTGTTTACATCGGTCCATATATGACACGACCATCGCCACTTTTCACCGCCGGCGGCACACGACCGTCAACCCGGTACTAACGAGGCAACCAGTGAAGTTTGGAAAAATATGTCATCAAATTAAAGCTTCTTCGGTAGTAATAATATAAGTCAACAAACTTTGTATGGCATTTGGAAACCGCCAATTAGAGATTCAAACCTCTCAGAACAATATTTTGATAAAACAATATGGAACTCGACAGTTATATTATTCATGTTTATCGGAATAGAATTCAAATAAATTTATTTCATTACTGGAAAGCTCGAATTTAGTAGGTTAAGACTTGACAATTTCGTTGCATCTCCGTAACGACCCTTCGTTTATGCATGATCAGACTGTACATCGAATGCAAATTCACCACACTGTAACCATAAAGTGCAATGACGCATGTATACTTTTCTACGAAAACGATTAACACTCCATATTTTCGTGATAAGGCATCATTTCACCCCAACATCATAATTATATTTATTGCTATTACTCTTGTAATCAGGCCTATTACGTTAGGGATAAAGATTATCCAAATCAACTAGACCAAATATTCTCTGTGATCACAGTACATAGACTTAGATATGCGATACACTTCGTTCTACAAACCTGAGTTCCGTATTTACCCAAATATTGTCTTGCACTATTTTCAATGGACTATTCCACAATCCACAGGATTGTTCTACAAACCACCAAATCGTACTGCAACCTTCTGGACCCCATTATTGTTCTACAAATAATTATTCTTCTGGAAAAATGTACCTCAGACAATTTTTCTTTTCTTTTAACCCTACATCAACCTTGTTCCGTTGTATGTTTCAGTTCTGAGGGACGACTTCCGTGCCGAGCCGTCGGATACTCGGGTGGCTGCTGGGGAGACGGCCCTCCTAGAGTGCGGTCCACCCAAGGGGCAGCCAGAGCCTACCCTCCACTGGCGCAAGGATGGCGAGATCGTCGACATCGAAGGCTCAAGCAGGTAATTGTTGTGGACAAACTGTTAAGTTCAAAACAGAATCCGACTTGTGAAATAATGAAGAGATTGTTTTAATCTCACTTGTTTTAGTTAAGTATTTATATACATGTACGGTAATAAAGGCTAGCCAATAACTTTGGCTTTACGTTTTATTTTTGGATTGTTACATGAATACAAAATCAGTTCTGAATTATGTTATTGACAATCATCATTTTGTAATTAAATACTACTTTCAATCTGCGCACATAACTACATAATATAGGTGTTAATAAAATTAAATGTATTCGCAGTAAACTAATAACCTGATTGGATTTTGTTTGTTCTATATTAAATGTACCATAAAATAATTAAGTAGTCATATAAACCTTGGCAATAATTTACTGCACTAGAAAAAATAATCCTTATAACTTTGATAGCGACATTTAGAAGCAAAATATTAAAAAACGGCGCCTCAATTCTCATGACGCAATATAGATGCGGTACTCATTTTGCATAGCGCAAACGGTACGGCGTTTTAATGGTGGATTTTAGTTTATACTACGATGCAAACGATAAACTAATTTTATCATAGAAAGTAAATTTTCTGTAATACCTGTCACTTTATTGATAAGCTAATCTTTTTACAACATATATTAATTCCCATTAGTGTATAATATAAACATTGATACCAAGAACTGTAGAAGACACAGCAAAGCTTAATTATATCAAGTAAACTGATTAACGACAAGAGGCCTATGATTAATGAAACTGTACAAAAGGAAAGAGGGAAGTTATCATGCCGGGGATTGTAGGGTGGTGGAAGTGGGGGGGTTGAAGAAGACAGATGATAGGGGAGGGTGTTTGTCAGTAGGATTACCTGTAATATGGTGGTGTGTACCTAGCAGGGAGTTAGGAGACTTTACCTAGGATAACTAACAAGGATTGTGTTCAGGAAATATATTATCAGCTGTGTGATGTATAATACTAACTATACAGTATACACGGTGAATTGTAAGTTTAGGTACAATGCATTGACTTTTGACCCTGAAGTAGTATCCCATCTATGTGGTACAGTTGGGACCATTTTTTTTTACTAAAATAGAAGTAAGGACCTGTGAGCTAGTCACAGATTGCACTAGTGCCTAAAGTCCTATTTTCGTCCTTATTCATTATTGACATCTATATCTCACAGTAAGTCGCCCTATCAAATATTGAAATATAGATATGATAATTATGTGTGTAATTTTATAAAACTAGTATTCATATTACTCCATTTAAATTATGTGTTAAGTCAATATGTGATTATGATAATCATTTTTTTAAGTTGGTGGTTTTACATCATATAAATACTTGTAAATTACCTAAAGTTAAAAAAAAAACTGAGTAAGAACAAATCAAAATTTTCAGTTGTAGAGATCAGGCAAAATAAGGCTAAGCTGTCAGGGTGCGCCTCGTTTTTTCTGCCTGTACAACCTATATAGATTGCAATTTATTAGCTATTTACTATGCAATATTTTTAAGCTGGATATCGTTTGAAAGGAAATTGCAAATTGCTAAATAAAAGTAGTGTTCTTTACCTTTTTTTATAAAATCAGCCGTTTTAAATCACAAAGATTAAAATAGCTGCCATCTTGAATTTTAAATTGGACCAAGTTAATTGTTTTCTACCTTTAAAATATGTACCTATGTTTGTAAAGATTAGTTGGAAAATTTGAAAGATCAAAATGTAAAAACACAAAATGTCAATATATGGTTGACAACAAGAAGTTTTTTTTTTTAATTTTGACTATTAGATCATTATCCCGGATTTTGGCTGTTTACTTACTGGACACCCTGTATAGATTAATAAATCCCTAACAAAACGCAACTGAATAGTATTGTTCTTATACCTAAACTGTACGAATTATAAACTACCTATAATTAGAACTACCTCTCCCTAGCTGTAGCTCTATGCTGTATTCTGTGCTAAACAATGAATAGTTAATGTACTACTACCTATCCATCAACTCATCCAACGTAATTATTGATTAATATTGATTAAACATATCTCGAGTGTTTCATCTTGTGTCCCAAGAGATATTTGAGCTTCACATTCTGGTTCTGTTTTCTGAAACATCCGTCTGAGCATTTGTCAACGAGAACTCAACTCGAGTGATTGTTTTGCTCAAACAAATTTGCTGAAATCTAAAACAGCTCTGCTGCAAGTAATATATTCCGAATGCGCCGATGTTTGGATTTATTTTCCAAAGTCTTTTGATTTATCACTCTATTGTGCCGTATAAAACAACCGCTTTCATTTCAGTTTGTAATTTATTATTTCAATAAATCGAGTTGTCAGAACCATCTATTGGACTCTATTCTTCTCCAGCATGTATTGTTTTCTGTATTTTTCCTTGAATTAATAGAACTGCCAATTTATATGAAATGGATTTGTTTTCTATTAAACCGTTCTGACAACACTAGTCAACTTGTCACTTCTACAGAAGGTTTTTTTTTATAGATTATTTATAAACAAATCTTCGAGGTGATAAATAATATATTCAATGGTCGCAGTGATGGATTTGTTAGTAAACTGAATTTTCTAGTCACACAATTTTTAGTCTCTTTGCCAATTAATGTACTTAGTTAATTGAATGTGAGTAAACGAAGCGGCATAATATGTCCTATGATGGTTTACTTTAGCCTTACATATAGTGTCAGATGGATTCTATCTGTAATTCATTTAACCGAAATATTTTAAAACGCTAAACCATGTAGGAAAATATAATTTCTTAAGATGTTTTATAGCTTCTTATTTAATTAATTATAATCTAAAAATCATTATTAGAGGTGAGCAAGCCAAATTTCACAAGGAGCCGTTCTCGAGTTGAGCTTTTGGGCAAAGGTCAACTCTAAAGTGATAGTCTCCAGCAATTGTGGTAACATCGGGATCATCTTCCATGATTGTGGTAAAGTTGTGAAGAATCTCCCGCAATTACGGCAACACCATCATCATCATCCCCCGATTACGTGACAAAATTATAAACAACTCGCGTTATTTCCACAAAAAAAGTAAACATCTTCCACAATAGCTACAGAACCGTAAACATCTCATATAATCGTAACATCTTCCACAGTTGCGTCAGAATCCTGAACATCTTGAACAGTTGCGATGTAATCATTAACATCTCATGCGATCGCAACAAATCGAGAACCTCACCCAATGGTGGAATCATGAACGTCTCGCACGACCACTGGAAATCGTAAAGACCTCCCACAATCTCAAAGGAATTGGGAACATCTCGAGCGGGCGCAACAAAAAAATAAACATCTTGCAAGGTCACACAGATTTGTAATCATCTCCCACATTTGCAACAGAATCATGGACATGCCACGTTATCGCAACAAAATATAGTGATCTTCTTCCGCAATCATTGTGTTGTGTTGAGTAGGTATCATCATGTTTTTTTTTCTTTTTGATTTAGTTTATTGGTGTAGTCTTTGTAGTTGCGTTATGTGATTGTGATAATCTCTCTGGAATAAAGCTCGGTTTGGGTTGGTTTGCTTATCTAACTACTTGCAATCACTTGTTTTTAGGACATCCTCTATCTGCGACCAAACAGCAGATTATTTTAAATAATATTTCTGTAATTGTCGTAGGGTGAGGATCGTGGACGGAGGGAACCTGATGATCTCTGATGTTCGTCAGAGTGACGAGGGCAAATACACTTGTGTCGTGCAGAACCTGGTAGGCTCCAGGGAGAGTGTTGCAGCTAAGCTGACTGTACATGGTAAGAAATCACTTTTGTACTTCATATAATTTATCGTTTGGTTTCTTTTATTTACTTGATAAAATACTTTTCAAGACATAAGACAATCAACAAAATTGGGATACATAAAAAATCTTTGCTTTGAGTTTGTTGATAAAGTGCAACTTGTATCAGCTCCTCAAATAAGTAAGGTAATCTATCTTCTAATCTGTAGCTGAAGCTAGTGCCTACAACATGTCCTTAGACTGTTGTGTGTTGCCTAATTTCATAGATCCTACACTAAGTCAAACTGAGTGTAATTGTTCCATCTGAATTTCAACATATGCTGATTGTCCTGTTATCTCCTAATTAATTTAACCCAATTTTTCCAATAGTTTTAATTGATATTTATGGCCTTTGTTGGCGAATGGTTATAATGCTTACCTTAAAATTACTGTTATGATTCCATGCGGGATTTCTTCTGTACAATTTATGTACCCAATCAACTAAAGATTGCCGTTAGGTACGAATAAGAGTAGGTTTTGAACCGTATGAGTTTGAAACACAAGATAAAATTTAACAATCTTGAAACACAAGATAAAATTTAACAATCTTGAATCCTCAACAATATGATATACTTTCAGTCAAGCCGTTCCTACTATCAGAGCCACAAGATGTGACAGTGCTGCCTAACCAGAAGGTCCAGCTACAATGTCGCATCGGAGGCGATCCTCCGCCCAAGATACTGTGGCGAAGGGACGACGGAGACATGCCAGTGGGACGTGCTCAGATCCTGGACGACAAGAGTCTCAACATTGAGCACGTCTCTTTGGAGGATGAGGGAATCTACATATGTGACGCTGATAACCTCGTAGGCAGCATCTCTATGAGAACGTCCCTAACTGTCCATTGTGAGTCAGAGTTTGTGATTAGTTAGTTGGTTTTGCAGGGGCTTTAACTATCTATGGAACAAGAAATTCCAAGTCTATATTAAAATTGTAGCTAATTTTAGAATAAAATGAAAAAAACTGTTGTTGAATTGAGCCACTTAAAAGAGTGAGTTGAAAAAAATTACTGGTTTCTGTGGAATACGTTAACTTTTTGACCTAACCAAACTGTAAGGGCAAAAACAAATTTATTAAACCAATAGCAATACCGCGAGTACATAAATTTAATTTTCACGCTCTATTATAACATTTTAATTGGTTTTAGCGCCACCAGCATTCAAAAAGAGACCACATGATCAAAAAGTTGGGCTGAATGGAGTGGCCAAGTTCGACTGTGAGGCGGAAGGGAATCCACGACCCAGTGTTTTCTGGACCAAAGAAGGGAGTCAGGTACTTTATGATATGAATTGTTTTAGCTGTAAACAGTATTTATATCATTAGCTCTTACTTTTGGTTTTTAGGTATCCATCTAGTTAAAATTTTAGTTTGTTATTCCAAATGTTTTGGATAAAATAAGCATTTAAAATATTTGAGTGGTCAGGCACAGTGAACATTAGTCACCATTAAAAGTGTGTAGTTTATTTAGTTTATCACTATAGCTTTGAAAATGACCAGTAATAACCCGTCAAATATATCTAAAAAGTATGTGTACATTTGAATCGTTAACTTTAATATTTTGACTATCAATTCATGAAGAGTAAACTCAGTCAGCAAGTGTAACTGAAACATTTTAAAAACTAAAATCCATTTCATTGGACCATTCTTCTAACACGTCTTCTTCAAGAGTTATGTTTCCTTGATATCATAAGAATGATAGTAAAGGTCAGACTGAATAATACTGGTACGGTTTTAATCATAAAAATCTGCTACATATAGCTTGTTCAAGTAACGTGATCGGGGATGGAGCTAAACTGCGGCCAACGAATAAGGTTTATAGTATTCACATGCTTCATCCCCACCCACCTTTATTATTTGAACAAACTATAGTGACGATAACTTTTATTTCCAGGTGCTGATGTTCCCTGGAAACTCCTACGGGAGGATCAATGTCACTCCCCAGGGAACTCTCAGCATCCAGGGAGTCCAGAGGGAAGATTCCGGATACCTAGTGTGTTCAGCTCTAAGTGTTGCTGGCTCGGATACTGCTAGAGCTTTTTTACAGGTTTGTGGTTCATCTGTCTTCCAATGATAAAGTGAGGAATCTTGAAAATTTAAAAGATCTGTTAATGGTTTGTTTGAATAAAGAAAGGTAGTAAAAGAAGGGATCTTCCTACGGCCAACGAATGAGGTTTGTATTCATTTGCCTCAAGTAGGCCTATCCCCAACCACCTTTTTGCTATGACAAAATTATCGAGCTTCTTGTGCAACATCATTCTAACTTCCGTAACCAATTCAGTTAATGTCTATGTATGGTTCTAATCTATTACAACTCTTTCCTTTAAATAACTAAATATTTTAAATGTTAACTTAAAAAATTAAACCTATTATGTTCAGCTCTAAGTGCTGGCTCTTTAAAGTCTGTTCTAAATTCCCTGCCATTTATTGTGATTGGTGTTCTCATTATTTTTGGATTGTTTTACCTTGTGTCAATGATCAATCTTAAGAAATTCAAAACTTATTTCAACAAGTAAGTTTGGCAGGTAGCCCCATGGGTGACCATCAGTATGGGGTAAGGGGATTTTGGGTCCCCTTTTTTATAAATATGCTTTGATTGTAATTAATTCTACCCAAGAAGATTACAAGCCTTGACAGCACATAAATTTGACAGTGTTTCTTCTCCATAGTAGACTGTATTTATCAATCCAAATCATGTATCACTAATCTAGCATTATCTAACATATTTCATATAGTTTAAAATTCTCTTCATTGAACCTAATGAGATATGTTCATTCCAGGTGACGTCAGTGGAAGATGTTCCTCCGCCTCTGGTAGAGGTTGGTCCGACCAATCAGACGCTTCCGTTGCAGTCCGTCGCTACTCTGCCTTGCCAAGCACGTGGGAGTCCCTCTCCTCGCATCAAGTGGTATCGCAACGGAAGTCCTGTGGATCCCCACTCATCCTCTAGGATCAGTATTCTTCCTTCAGGAACTCTGCAGATTGATGGTGATTCAAAATTGCTATTAATGTAATATTATTATTAGAAATATCTCTTTAAAATGTTTTGTATTCTCTTACTTGTTTCTGAAACAATTTCCAAAGTTCATAACCTGGCTACTATTATCCTAACCGGACGCTTCACTTGTACCCCACCAACACCTCCTATTTTCCTCTATTCCTTTAATCTGTTTCCTTGTTCCATGTCCATTTCATCTAATTTCTTGCATTTCAAATTCAATCTTCTTACTTTTCATCCTCCTACACATTTGAGCAAATCTGGTCATTCCTCGCATCTCATACTTCTGGTTGATGTGCAGATCTGCAGCCGAGTGACTCCGGGCTCTACACGTGCACAGCCAGCAGTGAGAGTGGTGAGACGTCGTGGTCTGCCTCTCTCAGTGTTGGAGGTCCCAGTGGGGGCTACCACAGGAGTCCTGACCCCGCCACATTTCCCCGCCCACCCGGGGCTCCCCGGATACTCAACACTACTCAGTCCTCTGTGACCATGGCCTGGGACCCTCCGCCCGGGCCACTGCACTCCCAACTCATAGGTATGGTGGGGAAAATGTCAAGTGTAATTTAATTTTAAAATGCATGGTTAAGCCCCTGAGCTATGCGTTGAAAATCATTCACCAACCGTCGATCAGCCCAAAATATTTCTGGTGGGTAGTCTCAGTACACTAACCTCCAATGCAAACATTTCTAGCTGATTGACTGGTGGGTAGTATTTATTGTAATTTCAAGCAGTGTGTAATTCCGGAAGGTTGAATCTAAAGCACAATTTTTCACAGCTTGTTCTCTACTTAAGTATATGGAAATATTTGACAGTTTTTCAAGGTAGGCTTCCACAGTCACACTTAAATATAATATCGGAGTCGTCAGGGTAAAATATAATATTACAGGAATCTTGAGCTGAACTTTCAGCCTCGTTTTGCAGATGGACATCTTTATAGCATTCATTATTGCTGCATTACCGTTATGGAGACATTTACAGTATCACTACAATTGAAATAAATAGTATCAATGTGAACGCTGAATATCGTTGAACAAGCAGCACAGCAGCAGTAAATCATTATAGCTTTGCTTTGATACAATACTAATTCAGACAAAATGTTGTTTCTCAGGATACACTTTGGAATACTTCAGTTCAGATCTTCAAACCGGCTGGGTAGTGGCAGCACACAGAGTCAATACAAATACTATCATGGTGAGAAATTAATGATGTTTATAAATAATAATTAGGAAATAAATTTGCTGGCGATCCATATAGTAAACTTATAGAATTTATTAAATTTGTAATATATGTTATATTCTTACAAAGAAAGAGTCAAAAAATTATAAAATTATATTTAAGCACCTATTTAATTGGGTTTTTTATCCAATCATTTAATTTTAATCCTTTTCAACTGCAGATCACAGATCTGAAGCCAGACACGTCATATGTGTTTGTGGTGAGAGCGGAGAACTCCCAAGGCATCTCAGTGCCCAGTGAGATATCCGAGGTAGCTCATACGCAGGGAACACATCTGCGAGATGTCCCGATCCATCAGATCAACGAAGCCCGAGCTCGGCTTGCAACCAAGGTCATCATACTGCGCAACCTGGAGGCTACCAGCTCCACCGCCGTTCGGATAACTTGGGAGGTAAGAATGATAATTGGACTTTGCGGCTTTGTTCCATAACTTACCTTTTCTTGCCTCTCCTCCTTAGCCATTGTAACCTGGGTCCACTCTACTGTAATCTGTCATCTGTTGCTAAAGTTCAAATAACCTATGTCCTTTTCAACTTGGTCTTTCCACACAATTCTTAGCCTGCCATATGGTTTTCCTGCTGGGTTTCCCTGAAGACAATCTCTGCTGGTCCTTCACACTTCTTTGCAAATTATTTTTACCTAAACTTCCTTGTCCTTTGAAACCTCAGTAGGTTTTTTCCCCAGTGACGATTCCTCTGCACTCTGTCTTAACCATTTAAATATATAGTGCAAATTTTTATGTAGTCTAACAATATCATTTTAAACTTTGTCCTCCCACCTCATTTTTGGACTGTCAAAAGAAACCTTCTTCCCAATGGATTTCCAGAAAGACGCTTACGATTTTTAAATGGAATTTTCAAACTAATATGCCATACCTTGTACTACAATCTAATCATTCTTTAGTAAAAATAGGATACTAACAGCAATAGTTGATTCGCATTTTTCTTAATTTTGTCCTAAAAAGCAACTCATATATAAGTTCTATCTACGACTTTTTTTCTTTCCTTTTAGATTGCAACCGCTGAAGATTTTGTCGAGGGGATCTACGTAAGGTTCAGAGACGTCTCGGGAGGTGAGAACAAGTACAACATGGCTACAGTACTCAACGCCGGAGCTCTCCATTACACTGTTACTAACCTGCAGAAGTACACCAAATACGACTTCTTCCTTGTCCCGTTCTTCAAGATGATCGAGGGTCAGCCATCAAACTCCAAGGTGGTCCAGACGTTGGAAGATGGTAGGTTAAAACTTTTATTTGATTAATGTTGCATTTGAGTAGCTTTTTAGACTGCATCAATTCATTTACTTACTCCAATTCTGCATAGAATAAATGCAACCCTGATGCTAAACCTAAGGTGTACCATCATTGAAAGTATTCTCCGATCCCTTTCATTTATAGAGAATGGTTTACACACTTAATTCTTTTTAGTAGACTAGGTATAGAAGAACATCCCTGATTATTTAAGATTATGTAACATTTTAGGGACTGTAATATATGATAGTACTTTTTAGGATGAAATAAAATCCTATTCAAAAATTCGACTACCATTTCTACTAATATGTATTTAAACTTTACCATTTTAATAACAAAATCAAGATGATGCAGAAAACATTATTATGTTCTATTCCTACTAATATTTTAGGTAAGTATTGTTACTAACAAAAGAGGTAGTCCGACAGAACCAAATAAGATGTTTCACATATTTCACAAGGATGATGTTAATCATTCAATTTGTTGTTTAGTTCCGTCTGCCTCCCCTGAGGACATCCAGATGTCTTGGGTCAATTCTTCAGCTGCTTATATCAAATGGTCCCCACCTCCTCCCCAGCATCATAATGGAGTTTTGTTGGGTTACAAGGTTAGTTTGAATGCACATAGCCGTACTACTATAAGTTTTGTATGGCATTATTAAGTATATAAAATCAGTTTTTTTTATGTTTCTTCTGAAGTTTTTGAAAAGAAAATACAGTGGAGGGATGAAACCGAAACTCAAATCTAATAATAACCTAATCCTTCGATAAGTTTGGTTTTTGAGATTTGATTGGTCTGTTCTGTTTGGTTGGTGTTGGGTTTTGGTTGGTGTTGATTAAACCGCCCAGCCAAAAGATTTCTAATGTTGACCATTTTACTAAGAAAATGTATTACAGTACTAGCTACGAGTTTGGAAGTCTGATGAATGCTTTTATAACTTTAAATAAATCCAGTATTGAAAAATAATTTAAATTTAAAATATGCAATCTTGTCGTCTCTTTACACACCATCATTTTTTAAATGGCATTTGTTGACAAGTTGATCAAACACTCAATATGTTACGTTGGTTTGGTAGACAACCGACATCCAACCGGCAACCAAACTAACAGCTGATCAATAAAGTATTTACACTTAGCTAACAATGATATTTCCATGTTGTATTTCTGTTTTTCAGGTTCAAGTAAAGCAGAACACCAAGATAGTTCTACAACAGACAGTCAACGTCACGACCCAGACTGTCATACTTCCCAATATCTCCCTCCATGGAATACAAGGTAAGCATAGAGTTTAAGTGTTTTTATGAAGTACTGTTTGTTCGTCTAATTTCTGGTAACAATGAGGTAGTTATCCAATAGAAAATATCTCTTTAGACAAGAAAAATAGACAGTGAGTAGTTGTCAGCTAATTTGACCCTTTCCTCACAAATAAACATTTGGAATGTTTTCAAGCATTTAATGACCCTACACCGTAACTGTAATCAATTAGTAGATCTCTCATCATAGATTACGAGAGTCACCTTGACCCTCAATCCGTATCCATGGTTAGGAAACTACAACAGATTGAAATGAAAGTTAAGCAGAGTTAAACCAAACTTCTTTAGGTAAAATATGTCCCAAGCACAGGCCTTTGATGAATATGTGAACGGGCAAATGGTAAATGTATGGTTAAAAGAGACCATGGGGAGTCTTACTTTCTTTACATGTTATGTGATTATTTTAATTGTGTTTTTGTAGATAAATTCTTTTATTTTCAACTTATGACTCATTATTGTTTTCCCAGGCATGGGTGTGCGGGTGGTGGCTTACACAGCTGTAGGTATTGGTCCGTATTCTCCGATGGTGAGTGTGGCCGAAGCTCTGATGGATCCGTCCGCACAACCTAGTCATCCCTCCTCAGCCTCTGACACTGTGTACGTCCTTATCCTCGGCTTTGTCATCATCTTCGTCATATTCGCCTTTGTTGCCACCTACTACCTCAAGAAGAGGCAGAACTTCAAGAAGGAACTTGGTCACTTGAGTGGTAAGTGTTAAAAAAATATAAAATTATTGTTGGATAGTTCCTAAAAATATTTACAGTAATAATAACGTACGTCATTAATAATGGACGTCATTGAGTCTTACAAAATGAATCAATGAGCTTATTAAATTAAAACTGTTGATGGCATATTTTCCCTGAAATTGTAGCTGATTGTTCATTCCTTCCATCTTTATCTTACAAACCCCTTCTGGATACTGATCAATTAATAAACCATAACCAAGCCAGCACTGCTACTTCCTCTAACATCTTACGTCCATTCATTATCTGTAAGTATACAAAACATTTCAGAGCAAATTCAATTTGAAACTATTTTCCAGTGCCAGTGATGAACATGAATGACCTCAACCTGATGGGGGGAGGTAAGGAGACACTGTGGATGGAGGCTGGATGGGGAACTAAGAATCAAGGTCACGGAGGTCAAGGTCATCTGTCAGACAGTGACTATGCTCAGGTACTAAACATTGTAAAATATATTCATCGTAATTTGTTTGTTTGTAATTGAAAATATGAGCACGAAATACTTTTTCAATTACAAAAGTTAGTCAACATCCTACAGTTGGATACCTTGTTGGTTGTATGGAGCTTGTTAAATAATATAAAGGTTGCCAGATTGGGAGAAAATTTTGAAACTGCTGGACACTGGGGTCCTTGAACTGTGGGCTTTTTATTGATCATGGCTAAAGAAACAACTGCTGGTCGTAGTCAGTTGTTGACACACTCATTGACTATGGCTCTACAGTCATCCTTAGATCATCTTCACCTTAAACTGCAGTGTTTTGTTTCCTTGTTCAAAATATGTAAGGTCTTTACCTATAGTTTGGTCCCTATATTAATAAGCATTCAGGGGGGTAGGCCTAATACTTTAAATAATGTGCAGTACAAAACTGTATTTTCTAGCGTTTTATACCAGTCATCATCCTCCTCTCTGTGCAGGGTCATGAATGTTGTGGATGTTTTAGCTCTTAGAACCTAAGGGATTCTAAACTGATTCAACTAACCTTATTTTTATTACATTTCGCCCATCATTTCAAAGTCCTCACTTGTTTCTTGGTGTGCTCGTTCAAATTGATTTTAAACTATAACTGGTGGAGTGTTTCTGTACATAACTCAAGTACTTCTCGTTTCAGGTGGATACCAGAGGAATGTCGACATTTTACAACACCAGGAAGGAGCCTCTAGCCAACCCCACACCCTATGCTACCACTACTCTGGTCAACAGCAACATGGTTCCCAATAACAGGGCTGACTCTACAGTGAGTTTACATTTATCTACTACCATTTTTAGTTGAATTTGTTAAGTACGTGCAACCTTAAGGGATTTTCAGGGAAACATTATTTTCTTCAGGGGTTTTTAGTTGCAGTTCACTCAAAATCATAGTACAATATGTTAACCAACTTATACCTAATACATGGTTATGAACCAGTTGTGTATGGTTATGTTGATATTACTTACTGTTCCCATTAGATTATTTTTTATTTATTTTTTATACTCAGAATATTGTTCACTTTTTGGCAAATTGCTTTGTGTAATGGCAAATTAGTATGCTTTATCAAGAGCTTTAGCAAGTGTCAACAGTTAGTTGTGTTTATTTAATTAATCTGTAAACTCCAAATCTACAATGTGATTACAGGAAACTGGTCCACTAATAGTTCCCATGGCAATGAGTTCTTCTTCCGAGGCAAAAACATCAAGTTCTGGCGATTCGTGGACGAAGAAGGAGATGAATCTAAACCAGGACAATCAGGATTTTAGAAACATGTCAGAAGGTGTTCCTGTGTTCATTGGTGAGTTGAGTTTAAACTTATCAAGATTAAAAATAGGCTATGTTAAGAACAATTCTTACATCATAATAAAATAGGGGTTATTTTAAACAAGATTAGACATGAAACCAAATAGAAAATCAGCTAACTTTAATTTGATCAATGTTTAGTCCCTCATTAACTAATATCTGTGTTCAGGTGAAACCAGGGAGTACAAGGGGAGGTTGTTTCTACCCCCTCCTCCACAACATCCACCCCCACCCCCTCACCATGGCAGTGTTGCTGTCTTCAGTCAGGTCTGTATATCACCTAGGTTTACTGCTATAGGGAGAATAAATACACACTTTATTATTCTATGTAAAATATTAATAGCTTTGTATAAAATAAATAAATTTGCCAAGTTTGATCAAAAGATATCCATAAATAAGCAAACTGCAACAATTTTCTTTTCCTCCATAAGAATAACATAGGAATTTTAAATTTAACATTAACTTCGGTTTATCTCAATAACCGTTAGAGATAGGGCTAACCTTGTGAAATAAAAAAAAAATGTATTTTTAGGTGTTCTTTAATCTTTATAGTAACAAAAATTCTTTATTAGCAATGGTTAGTGAAACATTGTCAAAAAAGTGAAAATTGGCTGTCATTTTCCAAGATGGGATTTATGGGGACTTTTGACATTTTCATTTTCATCAACTTAAAGGATTTTACATTTACAATTTATCAAGTCCAATTTGTTTTCCTAATATTCTCCCACTAATAAGTTCACAATTAATTTCAACTAGGAGTTTATAAAGTACAGTACAGTATCTTCATTCCTAAAATGAGACTGGTAGTTCCTCTGAAGCCTTGAATTTTGTAGTTGAGGGTGATAATTTTTAATCACGATTAGTGTGAACAAATTTTCACATCAGTTTTCTCTCTGTGGTGTTTCTCTTGTAATTTTCCAGCTTCGGTTGGGTTCTACAAAATTGTTTTCGGCCTCTTGTCTTCTTGTTACTCTTGCCTGAAGACCGGATCAGATTCCACATCCCAGACAATGTAACACTTGCTTTTACTTATCGTGATGGTAAACTTCCAATCCTTCTAAAACATAAACTTACCATCACCAAAAACAAACTTAAAGGTCTTGAGGTATGTTGATTGAATTATTGTTGTTTGTTTATTTCAGAGCTCACGTAGCCCACAGGCCAACAAACGGTTTGGCAACAGCGGTCCGGCGATGTGTTGTCAGGAGAACTCTGGTGGCCGTAGTAACAGTAGCAGCAACAGTTACGCTCCGTCGTGGCTCACCAGTCAAAGTACGAGAGAACACAGACACCCCCCACCACAGCAACATCCCCCTCCGGTATGTGCAACGTAAAGAGTAGATTGTTAAGATTAGGTTAGATTAGGTGAGACGGTAGCAAGAGTGAAGTTGATCTCACGGAAGCAGCGATCTCAAGGGTACGGATCCTCGTGCCTGTCACTAAGTTTTATCAGCACACTTCACACTTGTAGGGTTAGGCTCACTCACCCCTTGATTTGCTGGAACCGCACGGGCCGGTGGCTTATGTAGGCAGGCAAATGCAAGGTTCCAACCCAACAGGAGGTTCAATTTCAAAATACTGCAATATATTATTATTTCTCAAAGAACTCAAACGTCAATAATGAAGTGTTACTGTTCATCCAAGGGATGTAAACAGCTAATTTAGCCAAATTGGGACGTGATCGCAGTGAATTTTTGCTAGGTTGATAGTTCAGAATATAATAATCTTTAGCCTTAGATAGGGTAGGATGCAGCTCAAGTGCACAAAATAATGAAGGTGTAGTTTAAAAAATATTGAGGAATAATTTTAAATCCTTTAAACTTAGTCAATCCCAAGAATAAATATCAATTATCAATTATCAATTATTTAAGATGGGGACGCCACTATATGTGCGTATTTTAACCCAAATATGAGTGAAGGATGAGTGTAAGATGAGTGGCGCGATCTTGTAGTCTTGTTAGTGACTAAGGCCGACATGTTCCTTAGACACAGCTGTTAATTAATAGCCCAAATACAATCTGCTCTGAATCAAATATTCCTACAGTGAAAGAATTTTTGTCTAGATACCAAACTATCCGGCCAGCTACTCGTGTTGTAGTAGCAATCACTCTGTGAAGAGTCGAAGTCATCGAGAACGAGAAAGAGAACGAGATCGAGAACGGGATCGAAATCACTTACATTGCCACCACTCCAACTCTAGTCATTGTGATTGTCAAGAGAGTGCATCTCTGCTGTACTCCCATCCTCACAATTCGTAAGTACCCGAGGCAATGTAGGGTGTTAAGTGTTGATTTTCTGAACGTTTTTATAGGTCTTCAATAAGTATCAGTAGTTGGTATGCCAATGAAACATAATAAGAGCTTTTTTTATTCCCCAAAAATTATACTGTAGGAATAGACAAACTACTGTGCTAACACGTCGTATAGTTTCCTGTTATGACAGGAAGGAATCCCTCCCTTCAAATTAGAGTGTTTGATGATTCCATAAACTAATCAACACAAGTAGACTCGTCATCCCATTGTACATTTTGAAGCTTGTTTTTTGTGTCTAGTTCATATTCGTCTACACTGATCGCTAGTGTAGACAAAATTTTGTTTCTATTATTTTAGGGTTTTATTTTCATGATTTGTGCTTTACTATTTGGTTATATGACTAGGAGACCAGTTATTGTTTATGGTTAGGCCATTTTATTTGGTTAAACGAGGTTTTAAATTAGGTACTGAAATAACAAGAAACAAATTGGGAACTAAACATAACCTCTACAGTTGGACGTACAGAACTAACAATAAAATTGGCTTCAACTGTTGCATAAGGATGACAAATCTATGGTTTTACCGACGTAACTTCGAACAACTTTGTGTTAGAAGTCGGCCTGTCCTGTGCTAGGACTTCAAAATACCAAGTGTATCAAAATGCATCTTAAAATTTTGTATTATTAAGAGATTCTTCACAGACTGAGCTTTCATTTTGAACTATCGAAAGTTTTGATTTACTGAGTGTTTGAATTACCAAGAGTAGACTTGTAAATAAATGTGAGGTTATCTTTCAGACCACAACAGTGCCATCAAGACTGTGGAGCTATGGACCGAGGCTGCCAAAGCTCCTTGCCAAGCCTTCACTCTGAAGCTCAATATCATCTAGTCGGTAAGTTGTAACGCCTCAGTGAACTGCCTACAATAATCCAGTCCTTGTTTTTCTCCCTTTTTTTCCCAGTTTATTTTTTAAAGATTATTACAATTTTTTGGGATTGAATATAGAGAGAACTGCACATTCAACTGTCATATTAAAGTTGCCATAACCAGGTTTTAGAATAAAAATAAATTAATTGAGTTATTGAGGCTCCAATAGAGTGGACTGATGTGAATTGTCTATTGTTGTTGAATATGTCAACTTCAAAATGTAAATTTCAATGTCAAATACCACAGTAACAAAAGCAAAGGCAATAAATAGAGTTCTAGACACTTGACAGTTGTACACGCTCTGGGAGTGGTTCGTTCAACTATGTTCCTTTCTAATTGGCTACAGCTGGTTCATATAGAGTTGTTGTGCACTTTTCTTCTGCAAACAAAATTGCACATTGTTATTGTAGGTCGAGTATTGTTGCAATGCAGCCCGATATTCAATTTCTTGTGTTTATAAATGGTGGTAAAACTTACTAGTATTAATTGGTGACTTACAGTAATGTCTGTTTGTTAACAGGCCAACACAGAGACGACAGGTGGCGGCGGGGGGGAGGAGCAGACTACGACGGCTGGGAAGGGGAGGGTGAAGACGCTAGCGACACCTGTTGTTCCTGCAGTGAAGCTTCCTGCACCTACGCGCAGACCAACCAGACACCGACCATGAGTCCCCTCACATCAGATTAGGTAAACACACACTTGGAACATATGGTACAAATGTGATACAATTGAGCCAACAGCCTACTGTGGGATGGAAAAATCAAGTAGTTGATTTGGAAAGGATTACAAAAAATAACAAAGTTACAAAACCTAACACTGATATTTCTTCCTAACATATTACTTCTTCAGAGAATAGCTTGACGAGAGATGAGAGAAGGTTAATAGAGCCAACTATCTTTAAAAATCTCTCTGATGAAGTTCTATATTAGGAAATGATGTCGGAGTTGTTTTGTGAGCTTTTATCGTCTATCTACTTAGCTTCATGACTCAAAATTTGGAAATGTGGAGGGTTAAAAGGTGTAATTATCATGTTACTGTTTAAGAATAGAGTGGACTTCACCCCGTTTCTTATACCTATAAGGATTTTAAAAAAGAATGGTTTTTTTGTTTTTATTCTAAACTATGTACCTATTTCTTGATCTATCATTCACTAACATTTAAAATATTTCTTTGAGGTATTATTTTGAAGTGTGTGTAATTAATAAACTGAAAGTTTTCTGTTAACTGAGTTTCTAATTAGAATTATATATTTTTTAGGATTTACTGAACTACTCTAAGAACTGAAGACTCAACGGACTGAATCTCAAGGCCTTACCTGGCATTTTATCATCCTAAGTGTGAAAAGTCATTTTTATATCAGAACCTAACATTTTAACACTCTAATATTTATGATAATATGTTTTGTTAGGTAATTTAATTATTGTCCTAGTTGTCTACACAATCGAAGTAGAAGATTTTTGACACCGGAATTCTTCTATAATAGCACTGTTTTAATTCTTTATTGTCTCCCCCCATTCAAATTTTGCCAAATCAAATGTTCTTTTGTTGGCAAAACCATGTTAATTTGAATAATACGAAGACCAAGTAAATTTAAAAGTCATGAAGATTTCAAATTGTAGTTTGATATTTCAAACTAGATTCGCTTTTGTATACAAATAGTAGGTTTACTTCTTTTCTTTTTATTTTACTTTGGACAAATCATTCATTTTCAACACAACCAACATGTGACGTAAAAGAACATTAACTTTCAGACAAAATGTAAAAGGTATGTGCCTTTAAATGGTACCAAGTAATAGAAATTCATATCATCCATTCCTTACAGTGATGTGGTAGCTTACGAGTAACAATAAACTTTTTTTTAATTATCAATTTAGATAAATAATATCAGCTTCTGTGATATTGATTGTAGGCGGTTTTTTATCAGGTTGTGTTTGTAGTTTGTAAAACGATTGTATTTAGATTTCTGGTGTGATTACTGATTATTGTAAATGCTATAAATATTGACTAAGGTGTACATTATTGGAAAATCTTTTGTACGTATTCATGAAAATATAACTTTTAAGCAAAGTTGTTATCAATTTTTGTAAATGTTAAATTGCTATTGCTACTGCTGTGTATACTAAGAACATAAAAAATGTCAGTCAATTTTGAAGATGATTTTATATTAAAATTCCCTCTAACCGTTTAAGTTCTAGACATTGTTAACACTGGTTTTCAATTATTAGTGTTACATTTTCAACGATAATTGTTATTACTCAGATAATTATTATTCCTGATTATTTATATTACAATTTAAATTTAAACTGCTTAGATAAGTCTATTTTTTTTAACCAAAGATTATGATGAACATTACAGTTATACAGGGTGGTCCTAAAAGAAATAAACAACTTTATACACCTATAAACTAAGTAATGGACATTAAATAGTACTGCTTAAATACATTAAATAGTACATTAAATACCTAAAAAGGTAAGCTTTGATCTTCAAAATTCACAGCCGATGGGTTTAAACGGCTTTGTGGAAAGCTGAAAATGTTTTCATGAAAACTATTGGCACCGTAATGTCAGGGAATATCTTTATGAGAATCTTCCAATGCACAGGACTGACATAACGAGCGGCTGACATAACAACCCAACGTTACGTTTTTGTTGTCCTCCGCGTAACCTATAATTATTTTCTTGGGATTTATATTTGTAGGGTTATATTTATATTTATATGAAAGATAAAGCATTTGTAATAACTCTCCTATTCAGCTTACTCTACAGACAATTAGGTCTGAACTGAAATACCGGTATAGGATAAACTTGTTGTATATGATTCGAGGTTTACTCACTGAACATTTATTGTACAAGGGAAAAATTTGTCACTATATGCATTTGGAAAATGTAAATTCCATTCTTAATGTAACATCTGTATTTTGTTTAAAAAAGTTGTTTATTTCTTTTAGGATCACCCTAGAAGATGTATTAAAAATATAAATTTTTATCACTTTAGTTTAGTTATTCTTTAAAATGTTGAAGATGGTATCAAATTTGGATAACTTGGGTAGAAGTTTTATATTATATAGCACATATTTAAATTTTTCTAGTACATGTAAGTTTAAGAAATATTTTAAGGCCAATTGTATTAGAGGCAATAAAAGACTGAGATCGCATAAAATACGTACACCCTACTACGAACTAAACTTTAATAGTTTGGATTTAATTTAACTTTTCTAATTTGCTCAGAATGATTAGTGATTTAATAATTACAATCCTTAGTCATCATTCTTAGTTATCAGAGCAAAATATAATTCTGTTTAATTCAATCTTAGACCCAGATGGATTAGAAGGCATGTATCCACAGACAATGATTAGAAGACATGGATCACCAGACAAGGATTAAAAGACATATAAGAAGGACAAAAGCAAAACCGTTTGTTACATTTTCGAACCAAAGCTAAGTAAATTCTGCCTGAAAACTGATCACTTCAAAATGTTACTCTTTTGATATAAAAAAGGTAGATTCCTTATTCCTATTGTAGGTTGGTTGTGAGTTCACCACCACAAATGTATTAAGCATTAAATATATATTTTTTTCATTTAAGAAATTTAAACAATTTTTGCAAAATAGGTACGTGGAGGGATTTATTTGTGAAATTACTCAAATTTAACCTGACCGAATATCAAAAGTAATTTAGAAAACTCAGTCCAACATACTTGATCATTCTGTATGTGGTATATCTGGACAGGCTTACTGTTGTCATAATTTTGTATCTGGACAATAAATCGCCAGACACTTCCATATCCTGGTAAAAGTAAACTTATGTTAAATTTAAAATCCTTTAAAAATAAAAATAGCCAATGAAAATCAATGTAGACTATTGTTGTAAATTAACAGAAACCCGTAATACTATTAAATTTCAATTTGTGAACAAGATTAAAACAAAAACGTCTTTGGTAATCAGTCATATCTATGATAGGAGGAATTGAAATCTAGTGTGATTCAATGTATGCTACTAACTTAAATAAAAATTCCAGATGGTGTGCAAAACTAGTAATTGAAAAGTGTAAATTCATCTCTGAACCAGAGTGTTTATGTGTTCCAAAAACATATCTAGAAATCATTTATTTTTATTGTGAAAGACTGAAATCAAAGTGTCTGAAAAACTAAACTTCACAGATGTTAAACTCCAGTTACTCAAGTATTACATTCTAGGAAGTAATGTAATATTCTAATTTCTACCCCGTCAGCGTTAATTGTTGTTGCCACGATAGACTGTCAATCGATACTCGGTAGCTTGCCATTTGTAGTGTTCCATCCAAAAATGCAGATATTAGATCGCAACGTAAAATAAGAAGTGAACACAAAATATTTTCCGCAATATGCCATCAAGTCCAAAGATATTTTGTGTTCCTTCAATGTGTAGATAGATGTGAAGCTGAGGTGGAGAGGCTGTTTTCCTACTGTTAGGTCACATCGGCTTACGATGTGTAAAAGTGTTCCTGCTATGTAAATCGCCTAAATAGTTTGTAACTTGTTTACTCGACTAATCGCTAATCATATTTGTATAAGTTTTGTATTGTACTAAATTTTGTATTTATTGTATTGTTTCTAAGTGTAAAATAGTGCCAAAATGTATTAATTTTGTGTAAATAGGTTGTATAGTGTACAAAATTTGTAATAGAAAATAAATTATTTCGAAATATTATTGTTTGGATTTGTATTTGCCCAGATGTTTTTGTACTGTCTGACGCCTTCACAGACAAGTGTTAAATTTGATGGATAGCTCTTTTTTTAAGAGCAAACAGTACGATTCTGTTTTTTACCCATTTCTACTCTTAACCAGTTCTTATTATTGACTATACTATATCCCTTGGAAAAAGTTATGTTATGTTTAGGTTATAATTAAACTACTTTTTGAAGTATTTTACTTAAACAAGATTGCGCTAGTGTCTAAAACTCTATTTTGTACCTTATTTTTTTGTTACTGACATAGTTGCTGGGTCACAACAGTTGCTATATTTCAAAATAAGTTAATCCATCAGTTTGACTTGGTAAAAACCAGCGTGTAATCGGCACAAATCAGTCATTTAGATCAGCGCTATCCGTAGGTGGCTCACATCAACTAAGACAAATTTGATTAAAAACCTGGCTACAACTTTAACATGGGGATGGAATGTCTAAAAGCTTAAACTTAGCCTTAGCAATCATTTCCTAACGTTTCCAATAATGGTATCAGTTTACTCACACTCCCTTAAAGAACGAGTTTATTTTTTATCTCTGTAAAATAGCCAATCGGAATGATGAATTGAGTAAAAAACTGAAGATCAAGTAAAAAACTTAACAGGAAATATTTCACAATTATTAAGGAAAAATCAAACCATTTACATCAACAAATATATATATTTAAGGAATTATAAAGTAAATTATGTTTCACATTATAAAATTTACAAATTTAACTAACACTGTTTCACTTATGGATAAAATAAATTAAGCTTTGGATATTCTTAAAAGAGCCATTGCGGAATTATAATTACATCTACTATATTTTACAATTACTGACAGTACAGTATGTCATTGGTATTTTTCCCTTTTGAAAAGAATTTTTTAGGAACAATTCTGGTTTTAGACAGTTTTGTAATGACAACCTTATAATTTTTTTAACCCATTCCTGACTGAGTTATTTGTCAAGTATCATGCAGTTAGAACTGAGTAAAAAAGGACCAATGTACAATGTTTTAGTAAAAAACTCATTAAAAATGTAATTCATGAAATAAATGCCTAACACTTGTGCTTGTATTGATCTACATACAATTTCCTTTCGTATGACACTAATTTTAAATAAAAAATATTTTATAGTAATTTTCAATACATATATGCACATATATATATTTTTTAAAGCAAAATAAAAATTAAAAATCAATTTTTTTTGTTAAATTTATAAATAGTATTCAATTTGTTACACAAAAAAACTTAATTTGGTTTGTTTGTATATAAAATCCTTCATTTTATAGCTGTTTTTGTAAAACTATGCAAAACGACAAAATAAGTCTAGGTCTAATACAATTTTTGCACCAAAATTTCATGTGTACAGAGCGTTGCGAGTATTGAAATAAATGGGAAATAATAGTCTAAGCATAATTATAATACTTTTGAAACTAATTACAAGATTGGGAAAATTAGGTAAATCAATAATAATGTATAAGCCTAATAATAACGCATAATAATGCATTATGCGTGAGGATGGGCGCTGCCCGTGTTTAGTCTTTCGTAACCTGACGAGGTAGGACGGGCCCTGCCTGTCTTTAGGCGGGAATGGGTTAATGCTCAAAAAGTATTATATTCTAAATTAATAGCTACATACTAGAACCTTAAAGCTGTGAAAACTGTTATTAATACTTAAACATAAAAACCCCGATTAATTTTACTTAAAACTAATCAACTAGTTACAATAACGTAACTTTTATTAAAGGACACATTTTAAAACTAAAGCCCTATTAAAAGGCACTGTAAAACCTTGTGCGATTCCACTTCTTACACAGATTCATATGAATTATACTTCACATTGAGGAATGAGTTACAGCAAAACCTCTATTAACCGTCACCCATAGAACCAGGAGAAATTCCTTTAAAATGTATGAAATGTCAAAGAAATTCCTTTAAAATGTTTGAAATGTCAAAATCACTAGGACAATTATTTTGGAATGAAATGGTACAGTATACACCTGAATTCCAAATTTATCATATTCTTTGCAATACATAAATAAAATTTAATTTAAAAACTGTTGCCCAGCAAAAATGTACGTTAAAAATAGCAATACACATTTTTAAAATGACAGACAACAGAAGGTTTGAAGAGGGAGGTTAAACGAGGTTTCACTGTACATCTGGATGAAATTCACCTATACAATTCACACATTATTTACACATTGTACATTACTGACTAGCAGTCGAAAAGGTCATGAGAAAGCGTCGCACATAAAGTCTCTGTATGACTTGCTAGCGTGTATGCCCAGGCCCTGGAGGTAGTTGAAGAATCGGTTGGCTCGTCTCGTATAGTTGGCCAGCCTGACTTGCTCGGATCGTCCTAATTCCCGCAACACAGGCAGGTAGTCACAAGTCACTCCCTGATGGTTGGTGTGTGCCGTCGTCGTAATACCCGGCATGTACAGCTGCTCAGCTTGCCTCAGAATAGAAAGCCACCTGAAAATTGGAGTTTTTAATAATCAGCTGTGTGGCATAATATAAAAAACAACTTTATTGATAGGAGGTGAACCAGGATAAAACTCTTGATTATGTTTTTGTCGGTGATCCGACCTGGAAAGTTGAATAGTTCTTTTCTTATGATTTGTACAGGGTGGCTAGTGAAATCACATTGAAAAATTCCCTGACTTTTCCCTGACAATTCCATGATTTTTTTAAACTTTCCCTGATCGACAAATTCAAAATTTTAATTTTAATACTAACTAATTCTTCAAAAGGACTAATCTTCATCTGAAGAATATCTTATGTTTGTTTATATTAAAAACATACATAAAATCTATAGATACAGGCTAGGTTGTATTCAAACTTTGCAACTTACTTTAATAAAATTAAACTGAGTTTGATAAGATGATACGCAGTTTATAACAAAATTTAATCTGTAGAAAAACACCAAATTTTATTAAAATAGTCAATAGAATAGTCAATAGAATAGTCATTTATTCAGTCTTTAAACAATACATTATTGTAATTGACATCGTCATTATTATTGTAAAAGATATAAGATGCAATACTTATAATTATTAAAATTTGACATGAAAATTCCAAAATATAGGCTGCCCTTATTGAACATTTAACAGGTTTAAAATAATTTTTTAAAAATAGGCAAACTTAACAAACTTAAATTATGAATAATTTGAATAATGAATATTGTACAGACTTATCTCTTAGTTTTCACCCACACGGCACACGTGCTCTCGCCAGATCAGATCGACCTTTCCTAACAATTATTAAAATTATTTTAAACCTTTTTTACAATTTTCCCTGACTTATGACAAAATTCCCTGACTTTTCCAGATATTTAATATTCCCTGACATTTCCAGGTTTTCCAGGTCACTAGCCACCCTGTTTGTAGTTAAACCCACAGTGCTTTCACTTCTTAACATGTTTTGCTGTTGCGTGATGGCCAGCCGATGCCGGTGGCGGGAACAGCTAATGCGCTGTAATTGAGTCTGTGTTTAGATTTAGTTTCATCCGAATAAGAGGCATATTGTAGCATGTACTGTGTTCCAGTCGTTTTGGATGTAGTTTTACAAGAACCGAAGGACCCAAGAGCACCAAACAAAACTACTAGCAGGCCCAGTATTGGCAAATGGAGGGAAAAAGCTGGGGTGAAAAATCCGGATTTTGCATTAGTTTGAGGTTTGGTTCATTCCACAATACTTCACTACAGTAATTATCGTTTCTATTCCATTTCACTAAATCCAAGCCACTGATCAAATAGTAGGATCTGAAAACGAACTATACTGGATTGAAGTATAAAACTGCACAATAAACGGCAATCGGACACAATATTCCCAGTGCGATGCTAAGCTCACACTGAAGCAAGGTTGTTGGCATGGGAGGAGGACTACAATAGTTAGCTAGTCTATGTGGGACGCCTACTTCTGTATTCAACAGTCAATGGTTCATCCGCTTCTCAAACTATAGTTTCACATGCTAGCCTACTTTCACAACTCACCTGGCCTCCTGAGGTGTCTGGCTCGTCCTGTGTGATAGGCCAAGCTCCTGGTAGGCCAAGGCCTGCTGTAGCCACTCGGCCTCCTCACTCTGGCCAAGACTGTGGCCTGAGGTAGGAGCTGTCAGTGCAGTACTGTCCTTCCACCTGGCCGACCAAGCCATCGGACAAGGGTCTTCATGTTCCTCAACACATTCCTACAACAGTACGTGTCCCATTGGTAAAGTTTAAACAGGTGACATAGAAAAACTTAATTTCAATTAAAGTCAATGAAAATGTTATCTTTTAGCCAAATGCTTGTAGAGCTTGCTTTCAAATCCAAAGTTTGCGGGATTGATCTCAATCAGGGTCAATTCCAGGTTCATTGGGCTACCAATTAATGATGTTTCAAAATCTTTAAACAGATAAGCATAAAAAAAATCTCATGTCACAGGAACCTTGTTGCTTCCTTGATCAAAAATATCAAACATTTACCAAAAGATTTTCAACAGGGAGGGACATATGTAAAATTTGTAGTTTTTTGGGGACAACCAAGATTTAACTGAACAACCTGGGAATTTAGGAGGGATCAGCAATATCCAGGAACCATCATAAATGTAGAGAACTTTCCTAAGAGACTGGGGATATACAGGGCCCGATTGGACTATTGGCGAATTTTCAAAGATATCAGATTTATTCCAAGATATGGAAGACCTGCTCCAATATCACTATCAGCCATCAACTCCACATACCTCTCTGATGCCAGGGGACAGGATGTCCAGTAGCGCCAGGCGCCGTGTTGTGTCTGCCACTGCCTCAAGCTGGCGCCGCACAGTTGCCTTGTCTGTCTCAGGCCTCAGTTCCTCCTCAGGTTCCAGTAGCGTTGGCAGTTCGTAATTGAGTTGATACCGTCCGGGCCATCCCCACCACAATCTATTCACGTTGATTTTGTCTTGAACCTGTAAGAGTTAAACCATATTTAGAGAGCTTTAGCACTAACTTAAGAGATTAAGCACATAAAATAGACCCGTAAAATAGATATTAAATGAAAGGTCAAGCTGTATTTGTACATACAGTCCAAAATCAGACTTGTCATTTTAATAACATTAAGATAAAAAATTAAACCTATACAATTTTCATTGATGGCATATCCTTCATATCCTTGGATTAAGGATAGTAATTGTACCACAGTAGAACCCCGGTTAACCGAAATAAAGGGGTGAGAGCCGTTTCGGATAACCAATTTTTCGGTTAAACCCATCAAATGCTAAAAATAGCCTATGTATTACCACAGTCTGTAGTAAAAATTAATTTAAAACAATGTCTATATAATATAGTGTTTTATTTCAGCTACATAAATGTTACAATGGGTTATAGAAAAAACCCCTTTTGAGAGAGGAAAGGGCCTCTCTGTTTACATATTAATTATTGTACTTATATTTTAGCCCTGTATTAATTTATGGAACTGTTTCGGTTAACTCAGGTTTCGGTTAACCTGATTTCGGTTAACCGGGGTTCTACTGTATGGTAACTGAAAGCATAATCAACTGAAATTGTCGGCCATGTTAAAGACACTAACATTTGAGAATAAATAGTAAAATTTTTAAATTTATTATTTTTTAAATTTCCATTTTACAAAGAGTCTCCAAGATTTTGCGAAGTTGGGATGGGAATCTCACAAAATGAAAATATTATCTTGTTTTCTCCTAGACAATGCCTGTGAAATTTGCACAATCGCAAAAACGTGCGTCTCACCAAGATTTCAAGATTTTTTTTGTGATTGCAAGACATGATCTTGATGTGGCGGTGATTGCTAGAAATTATCAAATTTATTTCACGATTGCAAGAGATAATTATGATTTTCCTAGTGTGAAAGATGAATCTTGGTGTCACTATGATAAATGTACATAACGATAACACTCAATTAACGATTGGGCCTACCAAATCATATCGTTCTGCCATTCATGTGACCACATCGCATAGGCCTTCTTAAGCTGAACCATTAACTTCTACTGAAATCCAAAACTGTTGTGATCACATAACCATAAGTAACAAAATTTATATACCAACCTCTGTATTATTGCACTTGATCATGAGTTGCAGGTGCAATAGACACCTGCGGACATCACAGTTGCAGACAGTGACCAGACGTAAGGCTAGGTCTGTTGACATCATCACCCCCTCCACTAGACCTACCAGCCGCAACCACAAACCTAGACAGCCACCATATCACAGAAAGTCAACAAGTAAACTAGGTGACATGTCTTAAGTCAAGTCTCCAATCTAACAAATTCCAAAAAAGTTTCAAGTTTTAGATTCATTGGCTGGATTTAAGAGTGAAATCTCATGTCTTTATTTTAGATATTTCAAGTTTTAGACTCAATCAGCAAAGTTCAAGAATGAAATCTCAAATTTTATTTAGATTAGTACATTCACAGTTTTCTGCACTACTCCATTCTGCCTTTGTTTTAAATAGTAAATGGAGTGGAATCAAAAAGGTAAGTTCCAAAAATATTTTAGTTTGTTTTTTGGGAGAGTATTTGAAAAGTATGCAATTTTTTCCAGTACAAAATCTCTCGATATAATCAAATGGGAAAATCTTTAACTGTTTGTCAAGATAAGGCTTTGACGTCATGTGTGCCAAGTACAACCAATGTGCCAATTCAAAATGTAAATATTTAGTGTTTAATTGTTTTTGTTTAAGTAGTTACAATTTGTGTGCATTTTAAATGGTTTACGCTGCTGATAAACTGTGATGGGCTTGTATGTTTGAAACATGAACAGCATGATGAATTAAACAAATTTGCCAAAAAATGCCTATGTAAGAACAGTAAACCCTCTCATATCCGGACTAATGTGGCGCCGGCCGATCCGGATAACAAAAAATCCGGATATGAGAGAAACATTGTTTTAGATGAGAAAACAGCTGTACAACAACTACGGTACTCAATTTTAGTAAGCCTTAAATACGGAAACGTTTGTTTATTAAATAAAACAACGGTATTTTGGTTATAATAACACTTTAATAGAACAACTAACCTCAAAACATTATTACGTAATACAGTAACGGTACAGTGAAAAAATGAAATGGAACTAAGAAAAACACTTTAATATAACATCAAAACTAAAAAAATATTACGTAATACAGTAACGGTACAGTGAAAAAATGAAATGGAACTAAGAAAAAGACAAGTAGGCCTACTGTAATGAACAAAAATGTAGAGCTGTATACAGAGTAAAATAAAATTAATCCACGAGAACAGCTCTTACTTTGTACTCACAGTTAAGTTTTGGACAAAAACGATGTTATTGTGGCTTGTTTGGCTCGATTAACACGCTTCTTTGACGTAATGTCTCTCTACCTACGAAAAAGCAGAAGATCGGCACCAGTTGCTTCCTCTTGTTTCTCGACATACTCGATCAGCTGTTCGATGGCCTGGAAAGCCTCACTATGCATCATGGTTGTTTTCTGGATTTCTTCTTCTTCGTCGTCGTCAGGAGCGGGGTCTGCGTTAACTAAGTCTATGATGTCATTGTCAGTAAACTCCTGGATTTCGTCTTCCTTCATCCACTCACTCACTGCGTCACTGTCTATGTTGTCACAACCAGGAACGTTTCTAAAAAGTTGAACGATTTCTTCACCTGTTTTGTCATTGCAGTTTTCTGTTTCTTTTTCTACTTCTTTGTTATAATCTTGGTCTACTTTGTGGTCCAAAAGCTTTTTCCACGATTTAACCAACGTTATCAGTTTGAGCTCTTCCCAAGCGCTAGAAATCCACAAGGCAACATCTAGCATGTCAGTGTCTTTAAGGCACTCAGAAACACTCTTTCCCACATCCATGCCCTCAATAATGATTGTCAGTAGCTTACGTCGATACAAACGTTTAAGTGTTTCAAGGACCCCCTGATCCATTGGCTGGCACAAAGAGGTTACGTTCGGCGGCAAAAACACGCACTTTATTTCTCCACTTGTTAGTTCATCTGCAGACGGGTGTGAAGGGGCGTTGTCAAGCAATAAAATAGCCTTCTTTGGCAAATTGTTTTTTTCAGCAAACTTTTCAACAGACGGGACGAACTGATTGTTAAACCACTCTCTGAAGATCGCAGAATTCATCCAAGCGCTTTTTTGTCCTCTGTACCACACCGGTAATGTCGACTGATCTTTGAAGTTTTTAAACGCTCTTGGTTTATTTGATTTTCCAATCATGCAGAGTTTGAGTTTATTGTTTCCTGTGACGTTGCTGCAGGCCATTATTGTAACTCTCTCCTTTTTCTTCTTATAACCTGGAGCGCTATTTTCTTCCTTGGAAGCGAGAGTGCAGCTAGGTAGCATTTTAAAGTTTAGACCACTTTCGTCACAGTTGTATAACTGGTCCCCGCTGATTCCTTCCTCGTCAAGCAGCTTGTGTAAAAACATTTTAAACTCTCCCACAGCGTTTTCATTTGCTGACAACTTTTCTCCGCTTATATGAAGCTTTCTGACCCCATATCGATTCTTCCACTTTTCCAACCACCCCTCACTGGCTTTGAAATTGGGATCACTTCCGATTTCCTTATTAAATTGGAGAGCCTTTTCCTGCAAAATGGGTCCAGACACGGGCAGTCCTTTTGATCTACATTGTGTAAACCACAAAAATAACGCTTCGTTCACTTTGTCATTTACGGCTGTTTTCATCATTTTGCACTTTTTTATTCCTGAACTTGATGCCTGGTTAGAACACCATTTTTCTATTTTTTCACGGGATTTTTTCCAGTCACTCACTGTACTAGTCCCAACTCCCATCTCACTCGCTATCTTTTTTGCACTTTCGCCCGCTTGCAAACGTTTCAACGCGTTAAGTTTGTCCTCCATCGTAATGACAATCTTTTTTCTTTTTTCGGCCATAACAATTTCGCCTCTAGCACTCTTCCTTCCCGAAACTAAAACGAACCGTACAATCAAAGACTAGGTCACTGAGGCACAAAAAAAGCAGCACTGACAACTGACACGAGTGATGAATTGTCGTCGCCGCGCATGAGTAGGGCGTTGGCGTGGGTAGGAGGGGCGGGTAGGAGGGGTGGGGGAGGGATTCTATTTTTGTTTCGTGAGTCAGTCAGTGACCTTGCCCGCGAGACTGCACGTCGCACAACCCTCCCGGCGCGCCGGCGTCTCTAACCGGCCTACAAACAGCGACTGCTCGGTCAACAAACATTCGCAGACGGCCCTTGAGTGTTTTTTTAATTTTTGCATTTTTTCAAAATCGCGTCCGGATATCGGAGGGTCCGGATATGGGAGATCCGGATAAGAGAGGGTTTACTGTATATATAAAATGTAAAAGTTAAATTTAACATTTCTACAAACTTACTCAGTTTGTTCGGCCTCGGTCTGTTGAATGTGATCCGCAGCAGTTTAGAGTTGTTGAAGCGATCCAGGTGAGTTGAATTGGCCTGGTTGGTGACTAGAACAATCGGCCTCTTGGAGCTTGCAGCAAGGGAGGCCAGAGCCGGAACAAACCCCTCGTCACAGTCCGCAAATAAGAGATCTGCCTGCAATCACCACAGAAATTTGATTGTTACATCAAACAAAAATATTGATGCATCAATTTGTTTCAGTGTATGTATACGCTATAAGCGTTGTTATAGTGAATGCTTATAAGGCAATGAATGATTCTGTTCAATCTACTCAATTTTTCTACATGCCCGGGTTTGGACCTGTGGCTCTCACAAGAAGCCCAAAATGCTATACTAGCAACACATGGTATGCAGTATATAAATAGTAATTTAACTACCATCACACTAAAAATTGGATAAGTAGGAATAATGCCATTTTTTTGATTATGGTAAAAGGTCATAAAACTTACATCTTCCACCAAAATAAGTGATGTTTTCTCTGACTTTGACTTTTCAATATGTTTGGACTTTTTCCTCTTCTTCTTCCCTGAACCTTCTGTGGAACAAAAAAAAAACAATATAAACACCTTCACGTTTCAGTAAAACATAGCTAGTTCAACTGTCAATATCCATCAACAGGCGTGAACAGTAGAACTCCAATCATCGGCATTGGTTGGGACTGTTCCACATTCGGAGTCAAAAATTTAGGGAATTGGATTTTTATCGAAATACAGGAAATTTGACAGGAAATAGACTGAGTCCAGTCGAGCTTTTACTATTGTGATCGCAGGACATGTCTGTGAACCTTAAGTGATATAAAAATTAGGCCTTCGCCACCATTACGGAGGACGAGTAAAATTTACTGTGAATTACTGATGAGTTGAAGATGAAGTTGATGTCTACTAGACTGCGAAAGATGTTCAAGAATTTGCCGAAGTTGCAAAAAACGATGACAATGTTTCCATGACCACAGAGAAAATGATGATGTCTACAGGACCGCGGGAGATATTCACAATTTTTCAGCAATCTTCAAAGACAATGATGATATTTCTGTAATTCAGGAGACCATGATGATGTCTTCAGACAGGGGAAGATGCTCAAGATTTTGCTAAAATCATGGAAAACGATAATGATATCTAAACTATCTACTGTGGGAGATGTTTTGGATTTTGCTATGAGCAAAGCTTCTACATTCTGTAAAAGAAGTTGTTACTGTGGCTTTATGTTTTTAAACTCCTTTCCTTCGGTAAGCGATTCAGATAACGGGTGATTTGGATAATTGGAGTTCTACTATAATTCTGTTGTTGAGAGTTATTATGTTTTTATAATAATTGTAATGTAGGGTTGATATTGGATTAGCATACTTCGTGCTCTTTTTATCTAAGAACTGTAAAGCTTTCAGCAACATAACAAATAAATGTTCACATGCACTAAACTTTTTATAAAACTGACCTCAGCATATAAACTTTTTTTAATGCTATGTCCGGACAGTTGATTTAACACCAGTACTCAACCGGAAATTTTTATTTGAATTTGAAAAACTATCTCTTTAAAGGAAATTTTGATAAGCTCTAAATCAAAGTAGCCTATTTAAATTTTGTTAGACAGGATTATTTGAATGTGAACAAAATTCATCCTCGTGCACACAAATTATTAGGGATCACTAGGTTCTCATGTCTAAAAATTAGGGATGGACGAGATTGGATTTTTAGTTCGAGACGAGACGAGACGAGATTTCCCTTCTCATACACAACAGGAAATGCACGTTCAACATTTTTACCTGATTTTGTAACATTGTTAGATGACTGTTTAAATACAAAAATAATGATAATAGGCAAGAATATTTACAATCTTTTATTAAAAAACATCAGCATAACATTTTTTTATTAATCACGCCTAACTTATTAAAAATGCCTACGATTAGGAAACATAGTGATATCAGTTAGGATAGAGTTCAACTTATCCTAAAATAAAATAAATCATAAAATAAAAGCAATATTAATTTTTATAAAATAGTTACTGGTTTTGACTTTTTATAGTAATAAAACATTCCTCACACTGCTTACACTTAACAAAACTTCTCAAATGTTATTAAAGTAATATTATTAAAATAATTAAAGTAATATTTACATTTAAAGAATTAATTAAATAAGAACGCCTTCGCAAAGGAAACGCAACTACAACACGCTCCTGTATTGCGGGTATTGCATTGACTTTCTGCAGGCGTTTTTAATTTTTTTTTTCTCGTCTCGATAAAAATCTCGGCCAAAAAGAAATCTCGTCTTGTGTAACAAGATTTAAAATTTCCCGAAATTTCGAGACTTGACCATCCCTAATAAAAATATGAGCTCATGGATACAAAATTAATGTTTTACAAGTTCCAAATGTTCATAACTGTCTTTTTCTCATCGAGTTGAGCTGCAACCTGAAAGATTCTTTAAGATTATTGTTATTTAAGATGGTGTAGACTTGCACAAATATAATATATATTGTACAAAACAAAACTTAACATTAGACAACAACAGAACACTATGTTACAAAACTTACGGTTGTTAAACAGTCCACTGATAGGCTGGGACCTCTCCACATGGTGTGATTGAGTTGACTCGGAGAACTCCGCTAAAATGCGTTTGCCTGATCTGTTGCACGATGCGTTTATCTCTAGCACCTGAACAAACCAGTCAACTACAAACAATGAGTCACGTATTTGAAGAGTGATCATTGTGTTCAATAATAAACTCTACATGACACTAAGGTAGGGATGGACGAGATTGGATTTTTAGTTCGAGACGAGACGAGACGAGATTTTTTATTTCTCATAAAATTTCGAGACGGGATTTCCCTTCTCATACACAACGGGAAATGCACGTTCAAAATTTTTACCTGATTTTGTAACATTGTTAGATGACTGTTTAAATAAAAAACAATGATAATAGGCAAGAATATTTACAATCTTTTATTAAAAAACATCAGCATAACATTTTAGTTTATTAATCACGCCTAACTTATTAAAAATGCCTACGATTAGGAAACATAGTGATATCAGTTAGGATAGAGTTCAACTTATCCTAAAATAAAATAAATCATAAAATAAAAGCAATATTAATTTTTATAAAATAGTTAGGTACTTGTTTTGACTTTTTATAGTAATAAAACATTCCTCACACTGCGTACACTTAACAAAACTTCTCAAATGTTATTAAAGTAATATTATTAAAATAATTAAAGTAATATTTACATTTAAAGAATTAATTAATTAAGAACGCCTTCGCAAAGGAAACGCAACTACAACACGCTCCTGTATTGCGGGTATTGCATTGACTTTCTGCAGGCGTTTTTATTTATTTTTTTTTTTATTCTTGTCTCGATAAAAATCTCGGCCAAAAAGAAATCTCATCTCGTGTAACGAGATATAAAATTTCCCGAAATTTCGAGACTTGACCATCCCTAAACTAAGGTATATTATAACACTATTATCAGTGATTATCTTAAAAGGTACATGCTTTTCTTTACTTCCACTTGCAGACCAATCAGAAAGATTTTTTTGCAAAATCTATTAATCTATTTTTTTTTTGTAAAAATACTTATTAGCCTACAACTACTTTCCTTGATTTATATATTCAGAAAGTTTATGTCAGGAGGAAAGCTTAGGCACATACGTCTGAGGAAATAAAATTTTTTAAAGAACTTGAGAACAAAAAGGGTCCTAAATTATAAATGCAACAAATTTCAATGTATATTGTCCTCTGCAAAGTCATTTTGTATTTTACTCATAATGAATTTGTATGTAACTAATCTAAGATCGGGGTGCATTATATGGCAACATTTGTATGTAACTAACCTGAGATCGAGGTGCGTTATATGGCCAAACTGCTTCCTTACAATTATCTATATACTATTATAACTTATAAAACGTGAATAGCAGTAAAAACACACAGAAATCATGTTAAAAACTGTATTTTATACCTCACCTTAATATCGAGCTCCTTAGCTATAGCATAGACAGCACTGGTTTTGCCGCACCCACATGGGCCTGATATGACAGCCATGTTGTTGAAGTTGCTGTCATCTCCGTTACTGTCATCACTGACAAATTCATCCCCACTACTGACACTGCCTTCTGTAACAAGACAATTAAGTTGTAGTCATATTACACATAAGAGATCAACTGTGCAGTAGTGCAGGGGTTGTTATTATACATCAAACAATGAGATAAGTGTCCTATTACACACCAAAGATCAGATAGGGCAATGTTTGTTGTGATACAGGACATATCAATCACACAATGTAGTGTTAATCATGGTTGAGCATGGTCACTTTTATTTACTAAAAAACCTTTATAAATATTAATTTTAGAGCATATTTACATTGTCAGGGTGTCTACTACATTCTGGATAAAAAATTCATGGACAATTCCCGTACATTTAAGGACACTTTGCCGTAACCTTTGTCGGTGTCATTAGGCCTACCAAATAATTTTCCTGATTTGTCAAACTGTATTAATCTTGTTATTCACTGTAGTTGTACCAGAGAGAAAAGTAAATAATAATAGATAAGAGTTAAAAATTACAAAATAGAAATTTATTGAAAGTAAACAAACATAGGCCTACCTATACTTTAGGTAGGCCTAAAGCTTTTATAGTGTAACAGAGAAATGCAATCATTGTCTCCTGCGATAGCGACAAATATCTCCATCCGTCACGTAAACTTCATAACATAGCTTATCCGATCCAGGCGGATTAATTTGGCATAATTCGCCCTGGCACGTTAGGTTCTCGACTACTTTTGAAAAAAAAATCTTTAATGCATATTGTTACTCAATTCTTAGTACAAAATCAAGGTATGGTAAGCGGCTATTAATAAGCAATAAGCACAGAGTAAGATTATTGTATTTTCATTTGTAAAGTTAATATCAACACATAGCAATCATTAGTTGTTTATCTTAGGCTCAATTACATTTTCTTAATATATTTTACAGCTCTTTCAAGAATCAAAATACTCAGGCCTAAGCCTAATTATTTAGGAGGGCCTATATAAACTGAGTAACAAACAATGAGGTTATAATAGCAGCAAAGTTACTATCATCATTCTAGTTCATAAGATTTTGATTGCTTAAAGCATACAACTCAATAAATAAATATATGGGAAACAAAAAACATTGAAACCTGAATAGCCAACAATAAAGACAAAGATACAGAAAATGCAATGACATAATTTGAAACCAAGCAGGCCTACATAGTGATAAAACCTTAATGCAAACAACAATGCTTGTGGTTTTGTCAATTGAAAGATAAAATGTCCATAAAAAAGGGTTAACTTACAAAATAAGACTGTAGATTATTTACATGTTTAATATGAAACCATAAACAGTTTTATGGCAATAGGCACTGGCCGCGGCAAATTGAATCTTCAAGCCGAAAGTACAAGTAAGAAGTAACAGCCATTATAAAGCTATTATTTTCACGATAAAATAGGTTTGGGATCTAATAATAATTAGGCCTACACCCTAGTAATAAAAAAAGAAGTTGTAAAGGAATAAAAGTGATGTAACTTTTATGAGCTAGCTGCTGAGTCAACAGTTCTTGGAAGTACTTGACTTGACACTTGATTGTCGTGATAAAATATTAATGGGTTTGAGATTGTTAATGGGAATTTTATTGCATAATTACTCTAGTAATAATTACTCTAGTAATGAAAATGTAAACAAACATCTGATAAACCTTTTATGTGCTCCTAACCAACTAGCGATCAATAAAATTATGGCCCATTAAAAATTTAAGGACATTGTCTGGCATTTAAGGACAATTCCCGTACATTTCATGGCCAGTAAAAATTTAAGTACAATTCCCGGTTTTCCCGGATTTCCCGGTTGGTAGACACCCTGATTGTATATAACATTGTACAGTGGAGCTGATAAAACACTTCTAGTGCCTAACAGAATATTTTCGTAAAACAACAGCTGTGGTAGACAATAATTTTAACTACTTTTGAAACACATTATTTTGACTAGAGAGCAAGGATCAATAGGTCAGAGAAAATTAAAAATCTGGACGCAATTCAAATTAGCCTTTGTTAAACTGTGGATGCACTTTTCAAACATAGCAAAAAGAGGCATATGTAAAGAATGCATGATTTGTTTATGAAATGTCTCAGAGTGTGCAACAATATTGTCAAGTTTTAAGGGGTTTGGAATACCTGTTTGAAGAGGCATGACACCAGAAAGAATTGGGAAACAATAGTATATTTGTCACCAGCAATTTTTTGGGTATGTACAGGAGGAACTTATAAGCTGACTCAAGTACGATTCCTTAGTCTATTTAGGTATTTAGCAATCATTTGAAGGAATGCTAAATCCAAAAGCAGACCTTGCAACATAAGAGCCTCTTAACCGGTAAATTAATTCTAAATTGTACTATATTTAAGATTACATCATTGGTGTTGGAAAATTACCTCTTTTCCTGCAGTTCTTCAAGGTTTCGAGCCACGTTTTCAGTTTCTTGATGTTCTCAGAGTTGCCTACCATATCGGCAGAGTTGGTAGGCTTGTATACCTCAGTCCAGATATCGGATTCTGCCTTGTTTTTATATTCTTTCAGTTTTTTGAAGAGGACTTTAACTTCAGTTTTTGGTTCCTAAAACAAAGATTTAGATTAAATAGTTAAATATTCCTTACAAATGTCACACTATAACACATTAGTGTCCATAAGGGGCATCGGGACCATTTCTGTTATACAATTATTTTTCACCACTATTTTTTCTGGATGAAATATTATTCTTATCTAAAAATTCTGTTTAGGATTAGGTTATTTTATGTTGGGTTGGAGAAAAACTTCCATTGTGTAATGTTACGTGCAAAACATAGTTTACAGTAATAACTTTATAAAGGAAAAGGTCCAGAAATTATTGTACCCCTATTTATTACATTTCCTAAAAATTAATTTAATGTCTGATTTAGATTAATATTCTTAAGGTGTATGACACAAATTAAAGATGAAAACCCGTACGAACATGAGCAAAACACAACTCATACACACACAACACACAAAACTCGTACTGGTAACAAAAGTAAAAATGATAACTTCACTGAAGAAAATTTGCTAGCCAAACCATTTTTTCCAAAAATAATAATGTAGCTTTCCTACTTTTCCTCAAATAAATCGGGAATGTAAAACTGTAAGTGATGGGTTTAGCGTGTGTGTGGATGGGGGGGGGGGGGAAGTCCACACAATAATTTTTATTTTATGCTGACAAATATAGATGAACTAAAAAATTTGTCAATATTTTAAATAACATTTTGCTTCTGTACAAATTTAAGTACAGTAGTCAAGAATTCATGGAATCAAATGAAGAATGGTATGGGGAATAAACTAGTTGCAGATACAAAATTGTTAATATTTTTTTCAATACAATATTTATTTGTCCTTTTAGTTTTGTACCGACTAATGGAGTACTGGTAGTCTTTTTTTCTTTGTTCTGTAAAGTATGAAGCGTAACTTCAAGAGGAATTGATCGGTCCAATGAAGAGAGTTAGCTTTTAATGACATCATAGCAACAGTGAAAGAGAAAAATCTACCCTTCAAACAGAAGGGTGAACTAAAAATAAAAATACCAACCTGTTCTTTCAATTTTTCCAAAAACGCTTTCACGTTTCCATTCCCAGGACGCTCAAAAGTTGAGATTTCAGATTCATCCTGTTCGTCCAGGGGAAGACTAGAGGTCCAGACAGGAATGACAGGAGGCGGAGAGACGCTCCTGATTGGAGGTAGGTTCAAGTTACCAGAGTCTGAACAGCTGATCTCTTCAGCTTGCAGAACGTGACTGATGGTTGGAAAAGGCGCTGGTGACCCGAGGATTGTGTCACTAGAAAGTCGGTCGGGATCAGTAATTGAAAGAAATAGGCATACTTTATTTTAAACATGTGCAAACAGCTCATATACAACTCATTTTCGCTCCCTCCCCCTCCCCTCCCCCCAGCAGAATTGTGTGCAGTAAAGCAATTTTACCCATTCATAAATTTTGCCCATGGACAAAAATCCTTGACAAAAATAACCTTGAATCAATGCTTTGAATTGAAACGTGATTCATGACTTTTTTAGAAAACAGTATAGGAAAATGTCTAAAACTAAAGATATAAGCTGTACAAAACTATTATGAATCTGAAAGCAAATATTTCAAACACTTCAAGCAAGGAGATAAATCTGAAATTTCACAAACTGTGAAACAATTTTAAATTACTGAAGTAGGTTACATAAAGCCAAACATAGTTTCTAATACTGAACTTAAGTACTTAATAAATCATATAATCTAACAGCTTTACTAGCTAAGGTTGCCTTAAACAATATATTTTAGTCTAACTGTAGCAGTAGTTTGACAAGTTTACAATGTTTAATGTAGGCTACATAATGAATTTTATTTACCTTTTCACAGCCTCTACCTTTCTCTTAACGCTTTCAGGGACACCACTTTCTAGAAATAACATCTTGGCTTTCATTTGGGCTTCATTGACTGGAGCATCTTTAACTTGTCGAGCGCCTCCCTTTTGGAAAAAAGGCCACATTTTTACTGCAAAAGAGGGCAAACTAGTTCAATATTACACAATTTATAAGGTACACAGTGGGTTGGTTGAATACCATTTTACACAACAATTGATGAACAAAAAAAGAAAATGAATTTTATGGATGGTAAAACTCATGCAATAGCCAGTTAAAACATCTTGATTTCCTCGTTTAATATTGTATTTAATAAATATATAATAAAAATAAATATAGCCTAGGGCCTAACATTGATCAAATGCAATGATTAACAAAGATATGGTTTGGTTTCAATATTTACCAGCAGGTTTAGGGGTTTGAGGCTTAACCTCCACCACTTTTACTTCTTCATCTTCTTCATTCTCAACGTTTGGTTTTGGCTTTTTGGTATTTCTTGGAAGTGATGATCTTTTACTTCTACCATTAGATTCACTGACTTCCACAGCCGAGTCATCATCATCGATAACTACAACTATAACAGGATGAATACACATTAGTAGGCTAGTTTAAGTTGTTATAGTAAATAACCAAATATTGCACTTTCCACAGTTTGGTATTAACATTAAACTGTACTCATTTCGTTACCGTACATTTTTAAACAACAAATAGTCACCATCGTCAGTTTTTAGCGTCCTGTTTTCTCCAATGGTTTTCTGACTCAATTCTTCAAGAGGGCAGGATAATACTTCACTGTCCCCTTTGCCAGAATCCTGAGAGCATTTCAAATCATCTTCATCAGAATCCACTGGAAACAAAAAGAAGAAACAAAATTTAACAAGATTTTTTAAATGAAATTTTAGGGAATGATGTACTTTTTAAATCAGAGATCAAAGTGTACAATCACAGTATGTAGAGGAACTCGACCAGGAAGGAGTTCAACTCTACTATCAAACAATTTTTCTCATCATGTATAAGTTACTGATAATCATTTAAGTTCATCACAAGTCTTTGTTTTACCTTTCCCTACTTAATTTAAACTAATTTAGTCATTGCATCTTGGATTTGATATATGATCAACCAACAATGCGTCAATATTATTTTAAAAGATAACTTAGATTAGACAGCCATCTGACATCATCCAATGTAACTGTTGTGAAAAAAATTATTTTGTTTATAAATATACATATGTTGTAATGTTCAGAAGCCTTAATAATTATCTTTTGTTTTATTAGTAAAAGTTAATTCTTCCTCTAATATTGAACAAGGTAAGCATGATGGAATGAACAATTAGTAAAAAAACATGTAAAATTAGAAATACGGTATTCTACTGAATATTTTCCTAAAAAATAAAAAAAGCATAAAAAAAAAGTAAAAAACTACTACAGTAGGCCTAGTTTAATGTTAGGTTTTTTAAGACTTTAAACTGTTGGAAACTTAGTCATAGAACTTATAGTTTAGTTAACGTACCCTTGAGATTTTTCGATGCACTCAGGCAAACTTTCATAACCCATGCAGACTTTGCTTTTGGGGTAATTTTCTCAGTACCAATAACGTTCGTATTCGACAAGTTATTACTTTTTGGACTAAAGAAACCATTTATAGTTGTTTTTTTATTTGGTGTAATTTTTCCATCATCACATTTTTTCAACTTTTGTTTGTCGGGAGTTTTATGGCCTTCAGAACATTTTAGATTCTTGATTGCTTTTACAGCTTTAGGACTATCAACTTCAAGTTTTTTCCCTTCAGTGGGATTTTTAACACTGCTCGAACATCTTGTTTTTTTGCTGCCATTGGAAGACGAAGAATTTAAGGTAGGAGTTGTATCAACTGTTGGAGTATCTTTTTCATTTTTCCGTGATGTTGATTCAATAGGTAACTCTTTTTCAGTTTTGCTAGACGCTTGTTTTTTACCAGACGTTTGTTTACTTTTTAAACTCTTCCTTGACTTCAAACTTTTATTGGCTTTGAGTGACACAACAGGTGAGTCGTTCAAATTTTCTTTTTCACTGTTATCTTTCTGAGTTTCTGATTGGACGAGTAAATTCATTCCGTTTGAGGATACTCCCTCATCAGCCTTATTTTGCCGAATTTTCTTTGCCATAAAAATACTTGCAATATTTGAAGGTTGAGATTTAATCGATTGGCTTTGTATATTTAAATTGGACGAAATTTTATTATTCTGATCCACCTCCACAGAAACATTAACACTCAATGAATCATTTTCATCAGTGATTTCTTCTGAACTGATTAACTCAATACTATCACTATCATCGAGTAGAGATTTATTTTTATGTTTCATTGTTTTATTCTTTATTGTTATTTTGTCCACACTCTTTCTTTCAATTTTTTCGCCGTTTGAAGATGAATGAATATCTGCTTTAACTTCAATTTTACTAGATTTCTGTTGCTGTTGTTTTAATACAGTGTCCTTGTCTACTTTATTAAAATAACTAAATAAGCTGTTCCGAGAAGTTGCGTTACAACTACTATTATTGCTTTCAACCGGCTCAGATGTTTGTGTTGATTCAGGTTTTTCAGATTTTGTTGATTGAAGTTCATCATCTGAATCATCGAACAAGTGTTTTCTTGGTTTTCGTTTTACTCTCACTAGTGGCTCATCACAAGATGATGTATTTTCTATAACAATAGATTCAACATCACATATTTTTGAAGTAGAATCTTCGGAAGTTACATTATTATCACATTTGGAGGATTGCAGATTTCTGTTAGAACTGACTATACTTTTTTTATTGCGCTTTTTTAGGCTGTTTTCTAATGGTTTCGTTGTTTTAACCCTTTTACCTGAGCTGTTGGAATCGGATTCTAATTTACGTTTTTTACTGTTTTTATTAGGCACTTCTTCTGTTGATTTTGGCATCTCTATTTGATTTTGTACTGCATCTTCACTACTTGGATGTTCAGGTAAAACGTTATCTTTGGCAGACTCGCTTGCTTTCTTCTTACTTTTTGAAAGATTTATTTTTCTCTTTTTTGGGGGTGTTTCTTCATTGATCTTCTTGTTAATAAGATCAGTTTTCTCAACTTTATCTTCATCTTCCTTTGGTGATTTAAAATAATGAGTTAAATTCTTCATCATCATCTGAAAAAATACATGAAATGATAACAATTATCAGCTCTAAATAAGATCTATGATTGTGTTTATTGTTTTTACATTCATTCAAAAAATTAGTTGTTAACAATTAGTCGTTAAACAATAGCAGTCCTGTTACCACAGCCCAGTTACAACCCTGTTATAATATTTAATACCGTACTCTATATTTCTTTCTTTACATTGTGTTATCCTAGGCCTATATTGTTAATCACGTGTTATTTACATTGTTTATTTAATCAATCAATCAATCAATCACTTATTGAGATGGGGACGCCACCTAGGTGCGTATTTTAACCCAAATATGAGTGAAGGATGAGTGTAGAATGGTGTGTGATGACCTGTGTAGCTTTGTTACTGACTAAGATCAGCGGTTTCATTAGTCAGGATCATTTATTTAAAGCCCAATGATCAGGAACAGCTGGGTCCAGTTTCGAACCATCAAAAAGCTACTAACTTTTCTCAGGATCGAACCGGCGACCTTTTGATTACTAGGCGAGCACTATAACCACTCAGCTACCCTAATGACTGTTTGTACATAACTCCAAACATGTTTCAAGTGTAATTTTTTAGTAATGTTGATGGCTTAACTTTTTAAATATAAAAATTCCTAACAACTGAAATGGGCTAAAATTCACAAAATACAGCATGTTTCTATAATGTTAAATAAAGCCTTTTTTTATTTAGGTAAATATAATCATTTTTATAACATTTTAAATCACTAAAAGTTAAGAAGAATGGATTATCTTCTACTATGTCCAAATGTACTAGAGTTAAATCCTGAATCAAACAATTCATCTGCAGTTTGGAATCACTGACAACACAGGTTCCAAAATTTCATTAGAAGTACCAATGCTAACGAGAAAGAGAAATTTCGTCTTCTTATCAATTATATATCACCTACTATATAAGAATCACCTACTATGAATACATAAGTCAATGCAATTCTTACAATGAAGCTCGAACTGTCCTCAAAAATAGATTTGTTAAACCTGTAAACCCTTAGAGTGTCAGTAACTGGTGCCTTGGTTCATTATGAAATGAAACTGTTCTAAACTAACCAGACCAACCAAACTTGCTGTATGATTTCATGAGGAAAAAATAATTGTTAGGTAATTATGAAATGAACCTGTTCTAAACTAGCCAAACAAACTTGCTGTATGATTTCACGAGGAAAAAATAATGGTTCATTATGAAATTAAACTGTCCTAAACTAACCAAACCAACCAAACTTGCTGTATGATTTATTTATAGGCTACGGTACAGCTCGTGACATCTAAGCTGGCACTTGGCAAATCACTACTAGCATCTTGTTCAAAAACATCTTGTCCCGTCATGCGGGTTGCGTCAACTGTCCTCGCGACTCATGTGAAGGCGCTCAAGTACATAATATACGGGGAGTCAACCCCAAGAGAGGTAGAGGAAATGTTTGCAGTCCGGTCTTTTCCCTACTTCCACCCTCCTCCCGCCTACACTGCCCGTGCTAGGCCAAGTGCCAGCTTAGGTGTCACGAGCTGTACCTTGTTATTGTTTTTATTTATATCATAAACTTAACTTAAATGGTAGGCCTACAATACAATTATCATGGTCTTCCTGTCTCTGCTGGCTCTGCTCGTCGTCGGCGGCGGCAAAGGAAAGTACCCATTTATACCGACTAATTTCCCATTCTTGCTGGGTAATTACCTATAAATTACCCTTTTACCCGTTGAATTACACTTTTCTCCCCATGATTAAACCACATTTATCTTTACATATCTCCCCCACCCAAAACCCCGAATTCCCACTGGCTCCCTAGTGTGTTGGGATTATTGTTTATGGGCTATATTTAATTAGTAATCAAATGAGGCCTCGGCGCCAAAAAAATCTTTTATTAAGTTATAGTATTGATGTCCTAGAATAGGTAGGTATTTTAAAAGTAATTTTAGAACGTTTAAGCTGGGGTATGGGTCCTAAATAAGTACCACGAAGGTTTCGATACGGTAACTTAGGCCTAACATTATTCAATTGATTATTTAATTTGGTTAGTTAGGTTAAGTTAAACTAACTACAGTAACCAAACTTGATATAAACTTATCAAACGGAAATCATCGATAGGTACCTTAGGTACCTATTAAAAATTCTATATTTTTTTCATTTGGTAGCCTATTTTGGAGTCCTGCTTATTAAAGTCTACCCCAAAATACATTCTTTATACTGTTTATACTGTTCTATGAAATGGCGACCATATAAAGTAGGTATTTTAAGCCAAGTATGAATGGGGATGAGTGTAGGATGAGTGGCGCTATCTTGTAGTCTTGTTAGTGACTAAGGCCGACATTCCTTAGACACAGCTGTTAATTAATAGCCCATAGGCCTACAGAACTAAGGGACACCTACAGTTTGTAGTGGAATCCGAACCACATTTTTGCCTTGGTAATTACGAATTGGTTTAATTATCAGGATAGTACTGCGGATAGTAGCAGTACTCACCCGTGCGGACGTTACTCCATTGCATGTGGAAAGGTCAATAAGATATTAGGGCCTAGGTCTATGTTAATTCATTTTGGTCAAAAATGATAGGCTGGGGCTACAAATGAGATAGACAGCACATAAGTTAAGCCTAGGCCCTAGCCTAAACTCTTAGGCCTAGAGAAAACTTTGCTACGCAGATGAGAATAGAAAGACGATAAAAAAATGCTTCTCAAACCTTTACACTACCTACCTTATTTTAATTGTAACCGATTTCAAGGTGGTAATCCTTTGACCTAACTTCAGCTTTCAGAGTGACTGTTTTACATTATAAATGGCATAGGCTAATGGTCTTAAAAGTAAAGTAATAAAATATACCATGTTAATGGATGTTTAAAAATAAAGTCTTGGATATTATTTAGCCTATTACCTGAATAATCCAAGACTGAAAATCCAGAAAAAAGTTACACCAGTGAGAAACTTAGGCTAAGTTATATTAACCCACGCTGTTCACTATCATACATCAGGTACTTATGTTTGCCTTTCATCACACGTTTATTATATTGAACAAACAATACGGAGAAACTATTAATTTAAACACTCACGAACACGATCTTATAAAAAATGAGAAAACTTAACTCAAAAATATAAGCTTGGTAAACAAAAGTAAGTTAGTACAGTACAGTATGCCAATTGCCCAGGCCAGAAATCTATGGCGGGAAACTGGGAAAGTCAAAGGTATGATCTCGTTTATCACTAAGAAAAATCATAAATCTAGATATTTTTTAATCATGCAACTGCTAAACTCTAAAACATGAACATGGATTTATGTTATGTATTGAGAATATTTCTTGGCTTCTTTGACACGTTGTAAAACCAAAACCCCTCCACACAAATGTACTCAAGTAAGTTTTTATTCATGTATAAACGTTGTTACTATTTATAGCTCTATAAAAACATAAAACGTTATCAACTAGCTTTTGCTGATCTGAAATCAATCCTAGTTTTTTTAAACATAGTATGACAACTGAAGAGGAAGAAGTAAAGTTCGAATTCCCAAGAAACCGGCATCTTCTTAGACATCGAAAAAGCATTTGACAGCTTAGATAGAAAAATTCTTATAAAAAAGCTTAAGCAACTTAACATAACTCACAAAGCATTAGATTGGATCCAGAACTATCTAATGAAATGAAATGAAATGAAATGCTTTATTGTCGTTAAAACTGAGTACAAAGTTCATGACAATCGTCAAAAGAAAAAGAAAACAATCAAGATGGCAACTAAAACTAAAACTCTAAACCAAAGTCTAACGAACAGGAAGCAGCTAGTCGAAATAGAATATACGAAGAACTATTATGAAATCAAATGCAGGTCTCTAAACTACAGACAACTTACAAAGGAATTCCGCAGGGCTCCATACTAGGGCCCCTGCTTTTCTTAACATATATAAATTCATTCCCCACCAATTTTACAGAAGACAGCGCCTGTATAATGTTTGCAGACGACACAACAATCATCACACCAACAGATGGCAAAACTCCAGAACTTCAAAAATTAAAAACTAATGAAACTCTACTAGGTGGCGTTCGCAGAGGCATCCACAAAATTGAGCGGAGTCATCAAGGGTTCATATTATATTGTTTTTGTCTTACTGCAGTAAAAACAGTATTTTTTCATGCATGCGCTGCGGGTCTAAAGTAGCATTTTTTAATATTTAGGGAGTAAAAATCGTTTTTAGCCTCTATGGAGTAAAAATCAGCTGTTGTCAACTCAGTTGTAAATTTCGATTGTAAACGATTGCATGTATCGAAAATATGTATCGATTTGTGCTTCGTAATCATTTTTAACATATTACAGTCTACAGTCTCTTCCCGTAGCATTTTAGCATTGCAGATACATTAATCCATTCCCAAACTCAACACTGCTCACATTTACTACTTCCTTCACCACACCCTACGTCGTGGACCTGTTTCCCTCTCTTCCCATAGCATTTTAGGATTGCAGATACATTAATGTAATTGCCAAAGACAGTTCCCACACTCTGCCCTTTTAACCTTACTACTTCCTTCACCATTTACTACGTCATTGGCCTGTTTCCTTCCTTTCTCATAGCATTTAAGTATTACAAATTCACTTATCCATCTGCTCAAACGGTTCCCCCACTCTGCACTGCCAGCCTTTACTATTTCCTTCACCACTTACGTCGTGGACCTGTATTCATCGCTTTCCATAGCATTTTAGTATTTTAGATACGTTAATCTAATTGCAACAAACATCCCCACTGTCCGTACTGCTAGACTTTACTACTTCTTTCACAATTTCCTATGTCTTGGGCATGCTTCCATCCCTTCTCATAGCATTTCAGCATTGCAGATACATTAAAACTGCTACAAACGGTTTCCAGTTCCCACACTCCACACTGCTCACCTTACTACTTCCTTCACCTCTTCTTACGTCGCAGACCTGTTTCCCTCTCTTTCCATAGAATTTTAAGATTGCAGATACCTGAATCTAATCGTCATAAACAGATCCCACACTCCGAACAGCTCGCCTTTACTACTTCCTTCGCCACTTCCCACATCGCGGACCTGTTTTCCTCCCTTCCCATAGCATTTTAGGATTGCAGATACCCTTATCTTATCGTCATAAACAGTTCCCACACTCCGGACAGCTCGCTTTGACTACTTCCTCCAACACTTCCTACGTCACGGGCCTGTTTCCCTCCCTTTCCCATAGCATTTTTGATTGCCCATACCCTTATCTAATCGTCATAATAGTTCCAACACTCCGGACAGCTCGCCTTGACTACTTCCTTCACCACTTCCTACGTCGCGGACCTGTTTCCCTCCCTTCCCATTGCACTTAAAGATTGCAGATACCTTAATCTAATCGTCATAAACAGTTCCCGCACTCCGGACTACTCGCCTTGACTACTTCCTTCACCACTTCCTACGTCGCGGACCTGTTTTCCTCCCTTCCCATAGCATTTTAGGATTGCAGATACCCTAATCTAATCGTCATAAACAGTTTCCACACTCCAGACTGTTCACCTTTACTACTTCCTTGACCTCTTCATACGTCACGAACCTCAAGCTAGTGTCGTCATTTGATTATAGTACCTGGGGACCGAGCTTTGCTCGGGGAAAATCATTAGTTCACTCTGAAAGCACCGTAGTATTGGAGATACATAAATCCACACATCTACATCCTACACAATTTCCTACGTCATGGACCTGTTTCCCTCCATTCTATTGCATTTAAAGATTGCAGATACCTTAATCTAATCGTCATAAACATTTCCAACACTCCGGACAACTCGCCTAGACTACTTCCTTCACCACTTCCTACGTCGCGGACCTATTTTCCTCCCTTTCCATAGCATTTTAGGATTGCAAATACCTTAATCTAATCATCATAAACAGTTCCCACGCTCCAGACAGCTCGCCTTGACTACTTCCTTCACCACTTCTTACGTCACGGACCTGTTTCCCTCCCTTCCCATAGCATTTTAGGATTGCCCATACCCTTATCTAATCGCCATAAACAGTTCCCTCACTCCTGACAGCTCGCCTTGACTACTTCCTTCACCACTTCTTACGTCGCGGACCTCTTTCCCTCCCTTCCCATAGCATTTTAGGATTGACCATACCCTTATCTTATCGTCATAAACAGTTCCCACACTCCGGACAGCTCGCTTTGACTACTTCCTTCACCACTTTCTACGTCACGGGCCTGTTTCCCTCCCTTTCCCATAGCATTTTTGATTGCCCATACCCTTATCTAATCGTCATAATAGTTCCAACACTCCGGACAGCTCGCCTTGACTACTTCATTCACCACTTCCTACGTCGCGGACCTGTTTCCCTCCCTTCCCATTGCACTTAAAGATTGCAGATACCTTAATCTAATCGTCATAAACAGTTCCCGCACTCCGGACTACTCGCCTTGACTACTTCCTTCACCACTTCCTACGTCGCGGACCTGTTTTCCTCCCTTCCCATAGCATTTTAGGATTGCAGATACCCTAATCTTATCGTCATAAACAGTCCCCACACTCCGGACTGCTCGCATTTACTACTTCCTTCATATCACTTCCTACGTCACGGACCTGTTTCCCTCTATTCCCATAGCATTTTATGATTGCCTTTACTACTTCCTTCACTACTTCCTACGTCACGGACCTGTTTCCTTCCCTTCCCATAGCATTTTAGGATTGCAGATACCTTAATGTATTCGTCATAAACAGATCCTAGACTTCGCACTGCTACCCTTGACTACAATGTATCGAGTAATCTTAAGTATAATCTTTGCTCAATATTAACAAGTGATGTTTTTCCTTTTGTACTGTATTTGTAATTTCCTAGTATACTGTGGGTAGTTGGCTTATTATGAACACATGCTAAAACTTCAAATCTTTTGTTTACTTTTTACTTGTTATTTAATTCAGCCAACATGGTTACCTAGCAACCCATAAGACTAATGTTAAGAAAATGTGATTTTCAGTTTCATTTTTCTACGGATTCCTGAGAGACTTTTTTAACGCCATATAGATGTTGGCACTCACCGATATGGTCTTTATCACCATGCAAAATTTGAAAACGATTGATTCAGCCGTCTAGGAGGAGTTTGCGTATTACGAAATGCATAAAAGTCGACGTATAAGAGCTTCGCTCGCTTCGCTCGCTCCGCTCAAAAACTTCAAATCTTTTGTTTACTTTTTACTTGTTATTTAATTCAGCCAACATGGTTACCTAGCAACCCATAAGACTAATGTTAAGAAAATGTGATTTTCAGTTTCATTTTTCTACGGATTCCTGAGAGACTTTTTTAACGCCATATGGATGTTGGCACTCACCGATATGGTCTTTATCACCATGCAAAATTTGAAAACGATTGATTCAGCCGTCTAGGAGGAGTTTGCGTATTACGAAATGCATAAAAGTCGACGTATAAGAGCTTCGCTCGCTTCGCTCGCTCCGCTCAACAAATCTCTACAGCTGCTTGCAACGAAATAAACTTGACAATAAATAAACAGAAAACAATAGTAATAAACTTCAAACCTACAAACCATAACAATGAAATTTCAACTACAGATGAAAACTCACAAACCAATACTAAGTTCCTTGGAATAATTTTGGACAAAAACCTAACATGGCATGATCACCTTTTAAAGCTAGGTGGAAAATTGTCACAAGTTGTGTATGCTTTACGAAGAATTAGAAGTCTAACAAACAAAGAAATTACTATAACTGCATATCATGCAATCTTTCATCGCATATCAGATATGGCATCATAGCCTGGGGCTCTGCAAATGAAATTCACATTGAGAAAATAATAACCTTACAGAAGAAAGCAATTCGAATAATAGAACAAATTGAACAAGAAAACCCACAAGCCCACTGTAAACCTTTCTTTATCGAAAACCAAATCCTAACTGTAATCTCTCTTTACCTTTTTGAAACAATTACCTCAATCAAATCAAATCCCCCCCAACTCAGAACCCAATGTCACAACTATAACATCAGAAACAAATCAAACCTTGACATAGGCTATCACAGGCTAAACAAAACCAGTAAAACACCAAACAACATGGGGATCAAAATGTTTAATCTTTTGCCAAAAGAACTCAAAGAAATAAGTGAAAATAAAACTTTTAAAAAACAACTCAAAC